CAGTCTATAATACCAGTTTACAGTCTGTTACAAAAAAAAAAAAAAAAATACAGGCTATGTTACCAACCAATAATGTAGAGACTTTGGTGACATCTGGTGGCTAAAGATGGCATAAAATTTCAAAATATATCAACATTTCAATGCCACTAATGACTGTATTACTTAATGGCTCTATGGGAGGCGCTGTTTGTTGGGATGTGTGTGTGAGTATGTTTTTTCACAATGTCGTTATGGGGTTTTGTGTATAGCATTTTGAGGAAATAAATACATTTAATCAATTTTGGAATAAGGCTGTAACAAACAAATGTGGAAAAAGTGAAGCACTGTGAATACTTTCTAGATGCACTCTATATTGCAAAAAAGGAAGCAAGAACAGACTTTTTAATTAGAGGCTTAATGTCATCTAGTTTGAAGGTTTCAGGCACATATTCTAGTAGTATGGATCAACTCAAAATGTAAGAAAAATAAAGTTACCAACTTTTATAACCTTCAATCCCTTGCAATGCAAATCTGCTAATGAGCCATTTAATTCCTTTAAAATGTAACCTAAATCACCTTTTACATTGCAATATACAGTGCATCCGGACACTATTTATAGCGCTTCACTTTTTTCCACATTTTTATGTTACAGCCTTATTCCAATATGGATTAAATTTATTAATTTCCTCAAAATTCTACACACAATACCCCATAATGACAATGTGGAAAAGATTTTTTGAAACTGTAGCAAATTTATTACAAATAAAAACCTGAAAAATCACATGTACATCTGTATTCACAGCCTTTGCCATGAAGCTGTACATACCTGTAGAGCTCAGGTACATTCTGTTTCCACTGATCATTCTTGAGATGTTTCAGCAGCTTAATTGGAGTTCACCTGTGGTAAATTCAGTTGATTGAACATGATTTGTAAATACATACACCTGTCTATATAAGCTCCCAGGGTTGACAGTGCATGTCAAATCACAAACCAACCATGAAGTCAAAGGAATTGTCTGTAGACCCTCCGAGACAGCATTGTCTCAAGGCTGGGGAAGGTAACAGAAAAGATTCAGCTGCTCTGAAAGTTCCAAAGAGCACAGTGGCCTCCATCATCCGTAAGTGGAAGATGTTTGGAACCACCAGGACTCTTCCTGGAGCTGGCCGGCCATCTAAGATGAGTGATCGAGGAGAAGGGCCTTAGTCAGGGAGGTAATCATTAACCCGATGATCACTCTGTCTGAGCTCCAGTGTTCTTCTCTGGAGAGAGAGGAGAACTTTACAGTAAGACAAGCACCTGTGCAGCAATCCAACAATCAGGCCTGTATGGTAGAGTGGCCAGACAGAAGCCACTCACCATCGGGAGTTTGCTAAAAGGCATCTGAAGGACTCTCAGACCATAAGAAACTAAATTCTCTGGTCTGATGAGACTAAAATTGAACGCTTTGAGTGAATGCCAGGCGTTACATTTGGAGAAAACCAGGCACGGCTCATCACCAGGCTAATCCCATCCCTACAGTGAAGCATGTTGGTGGCAGCATCATGCTGTGGGGATGTTTTTCAGCAGCAGGAACTGGAAGACTAGTCAGGATAGAGGGAAAGATGAATGCAGCAATGTACAGAGACATCCTGAATGAAAACCTGCTTCAGAGTGCTCTTGACCTCAGACTGGGGCGGCGGTTCATCTTCCAGCAGGACAATGACACAAAACACACTGCCAAAATATCAATGGAGCGGCTTCACAACATCTTGTTGAATGTCCTTGAGTGGCCTAGCCAAAGCCCAGACCCAAATCCTATTAAACATCTCTGGAGAGATCTGAAAATGGCTGTACACAGTCGCTTCCCATCTAACCTGATAGAGCTTGAGAGAAACTGCAAAGAGGAATGGGCAAATATTCCCAAAGACAGGTGTTGAAAATGTACAATTTTGTTTTTCAAGCATAAATCATTGACTGCAGTGCACACAAAGAAAAACACACAACAACAGTTTCAGAGGGTAATAATTCTTGGAATGGATCGTCGAGTTTTTCCTTTTTTTTTTTCTCAGTCATTCTTTTAGCTCAGATTTCTATTTTCTTTTTTTTTTTTTATTAGTTGCAAACGTTTATATTTTTGGCCAATTGTTTTGTTTCGTCCCCCTTCATATTCTCCTTTCTCACCTCCATTCCATTATCTTTATTGATTAGCAAACATGCAACTGTTAGAAATCCATTTTACAAACAGCAAACTGAAAAATACATTAATAACGTTTTATAAACAGTAATAAAGTCAAAATCTATTCACGCTAAATGTATGACATCGTACTAATGTGGTATAATAAAACGGTTGTATAAATGATCGAAATCCATTCTTGAAGTTCACACAGTTCTGAGTCCTACAAGACTCGTGTACAAAACCAACATAAAGACCGGCCAGACTTTACATGAGCGAGTTGAGTGGAGATTACAAAAACAATATGTACAACTAATCGGGAGGCGCCGGGGGAAAAGGGTCGTCACTGAATGTTTGGCTTCCGCTGGCATGTTAACATGCGATTTCAAATGCCACATCAACCATAGACATAGGAAGGTTTTACACTGATCCTTTATTAAAAGGAACTTATATCTTAATTGTTTTTTTAGCAAAGTATGTAAATATGATCATTAAAAAAATATATATGCATACCTACATATATTTTCTTATTTCTCCGAATGAACACGCATACAGATGCCAGCATGCTCTGGGACAGGGGTAACCAATCTTGTTCCTGGAGGTCCGGTGCTCTGCAAGATTTAGCTCCAACTTGCCTCAACACACCTGCCTGGGGGATTCAAGTAGCAAGAGCTTGATTAGCTTGTTCAGGTGTGTTTGATTAGGGTTGGAGCTGAACTCTCAAGGATAGCGGACCTCCAGGAACAAGTTTGGCGATCCCTGCTCTAGGACAAGGGTGTCCAAACTCGGTCTTGGAGAGTTTAGCTCCAACCCTAATCAAACACACCTGAACAAACTGATCAAGCTCTTACTAGATATACTAGAAACTTCCTAGCAGGTGTGTTGAAGCAAGTTGGAGCTAAACTCAACAGGACACCGGCCCTCAAGCACCGAGTTCGGACAACCCTGCTCTAGGATAACATTTAAGCTTCTAGAAAAGGGCGTAATTGTGACCTTTATTTTACAGGACCAGGCTTTTGGAGTGTTAATAATGGAAATAAAGTTCTCCACAAGTGTAATTACACACGGTTGTGGTTCAACGACGACAAAAAAAAAAGTTTAGCTGAAGCCATAAGTTCACTTAAATTGTTCTGAAAGAGGTTTGCTTGGTGATTGATTCATTTTAACAGCTAAAATAAAAAGTCGTTACCACCGCAACCATTTACAAAATATACACTGCACTCTCAGGAATTAAGGTACACGATCTGTCACTGGGGTGGTTCCTACAGAGAACCGGAAGGGACGTGATGGTGGAGAAAAAAAAATATGGGTGGAAGAAAAAAAAGCCAAGTGATAGTTAAACATATTTGTAAAAGTTGTTGCGTTCCTTCGCAAAGATGTTTTGCGTTCACTCACAAAACTGTTGTTCTACAAACACTTCACTTCATACATGACGGCCCTTCTTTTTTTGCCGGTATTGTCCCGTATTTTACCATTGTATCCTGTTATTAAAAATTTTCCCATAATTCTCTCATATTTTTAATCTTAAAAGCATGTTAAAATGAACATGAAAATGTCTGCATTCACTTTTCCATTATAGCTGTGCGTCGACCAGCGCCCTTCATATGCAACCTCTGAATCCTCTTATCATGTATAAGCGCTGACTGACAGACCATATGATAAACTGATCCCAAATCAGCTTCTGTACACGCAAATTAAAGTCTCACCTCTGTTATCAAACAAGTGCAGCAAATGAATCTCTCGTTTCGTTTTGTTTGATAGCGGAGGTGTCACTTCACGACCGCACTGATATGTAACGAAAGCATACTTTAACTATTTGTGCTCAATTAAAAGGAAATTAGCTGTGTTTAAAATAAAACACGCAGGACGTCCGGGCATGTTCACCTATTATTAAGTGTATTTGTCTGTTTAAACACACACCCGAAGCTCAAGTTGTCCTGCACTTTTTAAATGCCGTGAACTGGGAGTCAGCCAGAGCTTATACGTGCTATTCAGAGGTTGCATGAGGGGCGCTGATCGACGCTCAGCTTTACTGGAAAGAAAGTGAATGCAGACATTTTTACATTAATTTCAACATGCTTTCAAGATTAAAAATATGACAGAAATATGGAAAAATACCTAATAGTAGGATATAATGGTAAAAGATGGGAGAATCCCAGCAAAAACAGGAGGATTGTCATGTATGAAGTGAAGTGTTTGTCGAACAGTTTGTGAGGGAACGCAAAACATATTTGCGAGATAACTCAAAATATCTTTGCGAGGGAACGCAAAAACTTTCAAAAATATATTTACCTATCACTTTTTGTTTCTCCCACCCATTTTTTTTCTCCACCATCACGTCCCTTCCGGGTCTCCGTAGGTACCTTTTCAATAGGTACAAATTTGTACCTAAAAGGTCCATAATAATACCTCAAGAGTACATATAAGTGGGCAAAAAGTACAGAAGTGTTCCTCTTAAAATTATTAGGTACTAATAAGTACTCTTAAGGTATTATTATAGACCTTTTAGGTAAAAATTTCTACTTTTCAAAAAGGTACCACCCCAGTGACAGATCGCTTACCTTCATTTCTGAGGGAGTGGGAAAAAAAACGAGCCTTAAATCTTAAAAAACGCCAGCGGTACACTGACGACATAAGGGGTAAATAAAATGTAAATCAATCTGGAATACATTCACAACACCTATGTTCACCTCGGTTACCAACTTTCTCGAAATCCTCATCCAAACTCTTGATGGTTTTGGAAGATCACCCAGATGTGAGAAATAAATATGAACAGTCCAACACACTGATCAAAACGAAGTGTGCCACATATATCTTCTACAGATTCAATATTTACAGGAAGAGAGAAGGAAAAAAAATAATAACTACTTCAAGGGATATATACATATATATTGGGTCATTTTTGGAAATCAGATACAAAAGATTTGAAGGGGTTTGACATCATGAGGGCATTTCATTTCTTCATAAAGGAAAGAGATGCCTTTAATGGGAATGATGCCATCAAAATAATTTCTACCAAGGCCAAAGTGGCACAAAGTGCAGATGAAGCTTCGTGGTGGGAAACGGGTGAAAGGATTTAGTGATTAAAAAGAAATTCACAGTAGTCACAAATGTTGTGAGTTACTGACATCTGCTCATGCACAGTGAAACAAAACGCCTCGCGGTCGAAACATTTCGCGCTCGCTCTCAGCAAAAGTGAGAGTTTGATATATATAATGCAGAATTTCAGAGAGACAGAAACACTGCAGGTCGTCTCACATCCTCGTATGTTCTCCTGGACAGAGGACGCTCCTTGCCCTTCTCATTTCTCCAGCTCTCAAAATACTGAAAACCCTCATTTAGAAAAAAAAACTATTCGTCTCATTCAAATGGACTTAAATTACAAACAAAAAAAATCATTAAAATAATAGTCCTCCAACAAAAAGTGGCGCCGCTTCCCCATCCTCATCGCCTCCATGAGCGGCTCTCGTATTCATCGTCTTCATCATCGTCTTCTTCCTCTTCCTCTGGGAGCAGAAAGGGGCTGACTGGCTCCTATATATGAGCAAAGTACATTGCATGTCAAAATAATAACAGCTTAAAGCAGGTCAAGATCTGAGAAACAATATCCTTACTGGTCTCACACAAGTTTTCTTTAGTTTCTAGAAATGCTAATAAGGATGTAACAATTCACCTGACTCAAGGTTCGATCCGATTCACGATTTAGTTCAACAAAATTATTTTAAAGAGCCCATATTATGGGTTTTTGAAAATGCCCTTCTCCTGGTAGTCGTTGTAGTAGTATCAGTATTAGTAGACACTTTAGTAGTAGTAGTCGTGGTTGTGGCTGTAGTAGAAGCAGTAGTAGTTGTAATATAAGTAACTTTCTGTAGTAGTAGTTGGTGTAGCACTTGTGATTTATTATTATTGTTGTCAGTTATTACTGTTGTCCTTTCTCTCTTTTTACTCTCATATTTACTATCATACATTAATAAGCATTGTTGTTACTCCCTACCTCTGACTGGTTTCTTTCTATATGTTTTATCTATATCTGTGACACTTGCTTCATTTATTGACTGTTATTGTTCCTAATGTATGTACTCTGGCCTGTCCACCAAGTTACCTTTACTTGCATACACACACTCACACGCACACACTCACGCACATACCAGTACCTGACTATATTGTTGATGTTTTTGTTTTGTTGCTTTGTATTTGTTATCTGTTGATGTTTTCTTGTATTTGTATGATTTTTGCATATTCTAATAATAAGAAAAAAAAGAAAGAAAAAAAAAAAGAAAATGCCCTTCTATGTAGTGTGTAACACAGCTCTAAGTGAAGTGAAATATCCAGCTAAGGCTTAAATCTGTAAGAGTACAGTGTTTAAAACTGTTGATTCATCTATAAAAGAGTCGACTCATAGTGATTCAAATGAGTCGTCTTGATAACGAGTCATTAGGTGATTCGCCATGACGTAATAACGAAACCAAGTAGTCGCAAACCTGGGAGATTTGAAACCTGCGGCCCCGCCCTTTAACACAGAAATACCCACCCACCCTTGAGCAGTTTGAGTGCCTCTGGAAACTTCATGCTACAAAGAAGACTTTATCGGCCGTTTGTTAAAGGAAGGATCAGTAAAGAGTACTGATGGACATGTCAGGACATGGATCGGTTTCTTCCTCTATTTCTCTAGTGTAAGTACGTGCGATTAAAGTTGTTGCCTCGTTTACTCTAGCTTGCAAATGTATTTAGTTGTGATTTGTTACTTGTAACCGCGTGTACTGTATCAGGTTAATTCGCTATATTGTCATATTGCGTGCCGCTTTGTTTACGGACCTCCGTGGAGGAGTCCAGGTCCGGATTGGCTAATCGGGAGCACCGGGAGAAATCCCGGTGGGCCGGTCCGTTTTATGCCTGCGAGGGCCGGTGCCCCTAGCTGCTTGCACTCTCAGCAGTTGCACTTTTTTAATTTATTTATTAATTTGACCATAGCCACACTATTTTTATTCATTATTATGCCGCAGCCCCGCTGATTTTATTTATTTTCTCGCAGCCCCAAGAGCAAAATGCAGCCCGCAGGTTAATGATGATGGAAGTTATCATTGCAAATAGCGGCAACTTAGTGAATATTAATTCACTAAGTTGCTTTATTAATTTTAATGAATAATACACCTGCTCAATGAAAATCAGATGATTCACTACATTAATAAATCTGACATAACTTGATCAGAAATCTAAAAAGGGGAGAAAAAGAGTTGACATCAAGACATGCCATCTTGGTCTAGTGGTTAGCACGCAACGTTATCACGCCGCCGACCCGAGTTCGATCCTCAGCAGTATAATTTTTTTTTTTAATTTTTAATGTTTAGACAAATAATACTGTTTGGGTTACTTATGTAGGCGTACATTTTGTGTGTGTGTGTGTGTGTGTGTGTGTGTGTGTGTGACGCTGACGACTGTTACAAAGGACTGGATATCTATAAAGAATTGATGTTCTCATAATTACGAAAAACATTTGAAGTTCTTAAGCAGCTGTGTCCTTGAAAAAGACGTGTTATGCCGAGTTCAGACGGCATGATTTTCAAACTAGTCGTGTCACAGATGTTTTCACACTGCATGACTATCTGGGCCAGCGTTTCGTCGCTGCTTTGTTTACACTGCAAGATGGTTCGGCGACATGGACATTCACATTGCATGACTTTACTATAGCGAAAATCGCTGACAACTTCGTCCAAACTACGTCTCACAGCCAAAAAACGTTGTATATCTTTTGTTATTAACTACATAAAGAGAAAGAAGCCTTTAATGGGGTAGAACATGTACATGTTTGTTCACCTGGGTTTAAAGGGAATTAGCCATTTCTCCTCAACGTTGATAATAAACTAATTTCTTTCTGTATGAAATATCAAACAGACACTGTTGCTTCTGAGTCCTGTCAAACCTCCACTAGTTTTCCCTCCATTTCGTGGGTCCAAATAAACCGAAAAAGAGCGCTTTTAACTTCTCCCCCAGCCTCCCGCTGGCCTGCAGCAGGTATACACACACAAGTGAAAGCTGCTCTCTCATTGGCTGTAGGCGATCGCTGACGTTATTTTCAGTCAATACTCAATTCACACGGCATGATTTGAATCGCCGACAGCTCCAGATATTTAGCACGCCAAATATCTCACAGGCATCGGCGACTCATCGGCGATTCTCTCAGATCGCGTCTTTGATCGTTCATACTGTGTGATTGTCACTCACGTGCACGAGCAGCGATTTGCCTGTGATTTCAGGCATTTGTCGGCGATTTCTCAAAACCTGTCGGCGAGCCAAAATCGGGGCTAAAATCACGCAGTCTGAACTAGGCATAAGTGTCATTAGAAACTGAATTGGAAATAACGTTATTTTAATATAGTCAGTCGTCGATTGAGGTGGGCCGGTCTAAAGGCTTGAAACTCCAGAGCTCCCTGGCGGTGTCGTCCGAGGAGGAGGGCAATGGGTGTGTGAAAAGAGCAGAGTTTGACAAGCTAGGAGATATCCTCTCCAGTTCTTAGAGTTTTTGCTCAATAAAATAGTTAGTCGTCTGTATTTTCAAGTCCATCGTCTGTATTTACATTCACCCACTGGCAGCTAAAATCCACGCCTTACACTATCGAGCGTGTATGCACTGTGACGACTTTTTTATATTGTTGATTAGCTGCTGGGCATTTCACTCTGTCTCTTGCTGAAAGCTGTCAGCGTCAACCAATCGCAACAGACTATCATTGGTCCAATCAGCGCGATTTGCTTCGTGCTAAGGAGGGGTTAAGGAACAAATGAATCACTGGACTATTCATATGGGAGTCGCTGGGATACTTAGGTAAAAATAAATGCAGATTATAAGACCATGAAAGTGTTTTTTGACCTTGCATGCATATTAGACTGTTGTTGGAGACCCTTACAACCAAGATATGACCCTATTTCATGTATAATATGGGCTCTTTAAACAAATTTAAGGTGAAGAGCTCTTTTATTTTTTTTCTTAAATGCTGCACATTTTTTTAAAAATGTAATATATTTTCTGCCATGACTAAGGGCGTACTCACACCATGTACAGCTGCCTTGAACCGGGCCAAAGCATGCTTGCCCCCCTCCCTGGGGGCCTGGACATGCTTATGTCATCGATGATGCGCTGTTCAGTTTAAGAAGCGCTCTCGTTCAGCACAGTGGAGACATCTTTATATCGTTATATTGTTTTAGTCAAGTGCAGTGACACTCAGTCAAATATTTCGCCGAACAGATCAGCCACTTTTGACGCTCATAAACAATCATAAAGTCCTCGTGCTGCAGGAATTAGGAGGTTTGCTGAAGGTGCAGCGAGGGGTTTGTGTCTTTAATAATCTAGTTTGCAATTCAAATGAGCGCGGGGAGATGTCAAAACAGTTTATTTTTTCCTGGTTTTATTAATGAGACACGCCGTGCGCAAAATTGCCGCTACAGATGTGAGGACTCATTTCAGTGATAGTGAAAGTGTCAAGCGTGGATGATGTCAAACTCCGGGGGCGTTTTGTTTCGTGTTTGGTTCATCTTTATTGTCATTCAGTTTGACTTTATGACAGCTGCGATCTTACAGTGTGACATGACAGCCATGTTCATGCAGTCTGACATGCTACAATCGTTCAGGATTTTTTTTTTAAATCCCACAGTGTGAGCCGACCTTAAAGGCTAATTTATACTTCTGCATCAAACGCACGCGTATGCTACGGCTTTAACGTAGCATGGCGTTGGCGTACAGCCCTACGGCGTTGGCGTACAGCCCTACGTAGCCATCGGTGTCGCTGACATGCACCTCTCAAAAAATGTAACTACACGTCGCAATGACGCATAGCTCAAGCTCTGTGATTGGTCGACTTGGTAGCGCTGACGAGTCTGGGCGGGACCAAGAGCCGCGCGAATGGCGCGACCCCGATAGAGCGATTGTTTACAAGTGTGAAGTCCCGTGAAGGAGCTCCGGATGGAAAGTTTTGTTTTGTTTTTACCTCATAGTTAAAGTTGTTGCACGTCCGCCGGTTCCTGCCTCAAAATGAGCGAGTTTGAGCCATTTGTACATTCAGGAAGTGTTCAGGAAAAGCAAAACAGCAGCGAAGAAACTCGATGTGAGAAAGCCCTTTAACGACCCCTAGAGGAAGGTTTCGTGATAAGGAGTTCAGTGACAAAAGGCAGTCATGACGGCTGGAGAGACACAGGCTGCAGATCGGCTGGCTGGACTGTGCAACCGATTTGTACATGTTTTACACCAGTGTGTAATTGATTATGGGTGAGTCCCTTTTGTTTGCTATCCTTTGATCCAGATAAATGTTCTGATTACTGTTAATGTCTTGTAAATCACACTGTATGTCTCGTGATTCCCACGTGCGCCATAACCGAAAGTGAAACCATGTTATCAAACCCAACGATCTCCTTTCGGACTTTGAACTGGAAATTCACTTTGATTCATAGTTTGATATAACCTTTTTTATATATCTGTTTAATATATATCACCTGATTCAGTCAATAATTCGTAAAATGTTCACCTTTGGGTAGATTTAGCCTGTACAATAATACTAAATGCTCATTCCAATTGCTTACAACAGTATATTTAATTCATCATTGTCTTTATAATTCACAATTACACGATGTATGTTTATTTGTATCTTAATTAATAAGTTTGTTGTATAATTTACTGACCTTAGCAATTGTTCCTCTTTGTATTTTTCTGTCTTCTACCACACGTGTGTAATGACATTCCAGCTTGATTAAACTTACAAAACTGGGAATCCTTCTCCTGTTCTCTTACCGGAACTACCCCTTTCATCTTGTGTGCACGACACCTGAACCCCCTAAGCGTCCCATACGCTCGTATACTCGACACAGAGGAACATTTAAACCTCACTGCCAACTAGCGTTTCGGAAATGTTAATGCAGACCAACAGAGACAGCGCGCAGAAGTATAAATGCACAGCTACGCGCGTTGCCTGCGCCGTGAGTTACGCCGGTCACTTGACGCAGAAGTATAAACCAGGCTTAAGTCGATCTCTCTCTTTTGTATTTTATAGTGCTGTATTTATACGATGGACATCCTGCGTTCTCCAGCCTTCGGCGCAAAGACTGAAGCTCTGCACAGAAAGTTTGGCCAGAGTAGAAGTTTTGCAAAAGTCCAGGATTAAATAAATTCAAAGCAAAGTTGAAATGAACTTCTGAGACAACTTTTTTGAGAGAAATGTTGTTCGTTGGTCATTCACAGTGTGCAATTTCAGCTATAATTTGGTCATGAGACAAATTTGGTAAATCCTTAAAGAAGGCTGAAAAGAAAAATGATCAGACAAACAAGGTTTCTACCCAGAAGCGACGATCATACATGCAACATGCAAGCTCGCACATCATTTGCTTGACACTGCCATTTATATCATTAAAACACTTGCAATCTTGCAATGTGATTACCGTCATAACATGGATTCCTGCAGCGTTGACCTCTTCCTTTGACTCTTCCTCTTCTGGTTCTGTGGACACGGAGGGGGTTTTAGGTTTGTACCACGAGATTTGTAGAATTCGACCCTTAAACTTGGCTCCTTGGTTTGCAGCCTGAAAAAAAAAAACGAGCACAATTTAGTAACCTCTTGCAATATAGGTTAAATAAATGGAAACTGTAAGAGCCACATACGTTTTCTGCATCACTGCGGGTTTTGAAGGTCATCACGACACTGGAAGCATCATGTTCACGAAGCTCTTCGATTTCACCAAATTTCTAAAGATCAATCAAAAAGTTGGTGGATAATCAAATGTGTATCATATATACACATTTATTATAATACATACTATGTATATTCAAGTCTTACCACAAAATGCGGCATGAGTTCTTCCTTCTCCTCCTGAGTGAAGCCAATAATGGAGAGTGCTCGGGGCCGGTGGTCTACCACCATGTGATTGGCTCCTCCACGCCCTCTGAGGTTCCGCCCTCTGCCCCTCCCTCTGCCTCGGGTTGGTGCCAGTGATGGTTTGCCACGCCCAGCTGGTATCAGTCCCAACCGTGTTGCCTAGGTAGTTTTAAAAACCATACTATTAAACTGCTGTATACAGTAGTACAGTCAGATGTGGAGGACTGATTTTCCAAGACTTGACTCACAAATTGACTTGTGATTTTTTTTCCTGACTTGAGTATTTTATTGTGTTTTTGTATTTAATGCCATGTCAGCTACCAAGGCTATTTTCATAGCAAGAAAATCCGATCGACCTGCTTACACTGCTGACACGAGAACACAGATCCGATTCATACCGGATAAACTTCCACATATGAACAAGGCCTGAATCTGATTTGGGTAAATTGAAATTCATGTGATTTGTTTCTGCTTACACGTACATGGGCCAAACTCGATCTGTGCCACATGGGAGAAAAATAAAAATCGGAATTGAGTCACTTGCACAGTGTAGTTTAATACGGCCAATGTTGCTCTTTGCAATGATCTTAAACCATGTCAATGCATCTCTGAGGAAATTAGTTTGTCAACAAATAGGTTCAGTGATTTAATGACCAATTATGCTTTCATTTTCAGTCATTCTCTTTAAATCAGAACAGAATGAACTAATAAGCTGAGTAAACGCTACAGATACTGCCTCAATGTGCTGTTGGAAATACAAGTTAAGAGGTCGCTCATGTTCAATTCCTGTCTGGAAAACTTACATTTACATATTTAATGTTGATTCTAGAGTTCCTGAAGCTCTCCATCTACCGTGATGACTGTTTATATGGTTGTCAACAAATGAGATGCAACATTTTATTCTTTATGCCAACTAAGCACTTGAACATCACAAGCTTGTAACCATGGCTGCACAAGGAGATTAGGTAATTTCCTATAGCCTGTGATGGCAGAATCACCGTTACCCACCGGAAGTCCAAATTTCTGGGATAATTTTAATTGTTTTATTTGATATTTTAGCTAGGATTACAATTTTCAGATATTAAAACTACGAGTCATCAAGAGTCTTGGTTAGACAAATCTTGTTTAGACAAGATTCTAAACTTCCAAGAAAAAAAAAAGACAAAGAGTCACTAAAGTCACATTAAATGTTGGTCATTTCACTTTCATGCCCTGAGAAAGCAAGTCTTTCAGACAGTATACTTCATCCCGTTCGCTCTCCAATCCATTAATTGTCCCCCCCCTCAATCTCCCTCTCATTTCTTACGTGAAAGCCAATCAAACATTAATGGACCGAAAGCATCAGTGTAAGGATAGGCATGTGTGTTGTTTAGGGACGAGTCCTTGGGGTTTGGGAAGTGCTCAGAGTTAAATGTGCAGGAGATGAAGTGTAATGACATGCATATTTCACACAAGCTAATTTAAGCCTGGTGCCAGTTGTGATGTTTTCGTTGTCACTCTTGTTTCATGAGTGCTTGCGTCAGAGCATGAGATTATGTCTGGGTGAATGGATTATGATTATGAGTCTGGAGTACATTAGTGCGTTTTGCTGAGTCAAGTCAAGCCACCTTTATTTTTTTAAAATGCTTTAAACAGCAGTAAAAAGAGCTTTATAGATATAATCAGATATGAGCTTTCATCAACGTGAAACAAGTATTCATGGCGCTTCACTTTTTCCACATTTTGTATGTTACCTTATTCCAAAACGAATTAAAGTGATTTATTTTCTCAAAATTCTACACACAATACCCCAAAATGACTATGTGGAAAAAAAGAGTTTGCCACAGAACCATGCCACAGAACTCAGATAAGCTCGGAGGAAAACAAAGCCAAAGGCAAGATTTATTAAAATATATGTTAATTAACAAAGAGCAACAATCATCTTTTCTCAACTTGTTGAGTAATACATGGTCATAGCCACCCTGATGTCGGCAGACGTCGGGGCAGAGGTTGCTGTCGTAGCTGTTTTGACAATTTCAGCTGTCGTGTTGGGTGGTGCATAATAACTGGCGATGGACGGCTGCAGCTGTTCTTTGTGGCCAACAGCAACTTTGTTGCTAGCATGTGGTGCTTTACAGCATTTATGCCTATAAACGATATACTTATAGTCTTTTAACAATACGTACAGTGGGCCTTGTTGTTGTTTTCGGTGTCTTTCTCCAACCAGGAGTATGCAAATTTACATTTTCCCATTTTGCCATCTGTTTCACTCTATGGTTTCGCTACATGTGGAGAGCATCACATCACCTTCCCGCATTTGTCACAAATTACGTGACATCACCCGGACGAAGAAGCATGGTCGGACGTGCCCCGGCTAAAATCGCGTGGATCGATCATGCCGTTGTTAATATTAGGAAGGAAAATAAATATATTTATGCGTTTTTGGAGTCAAACACTTTGGACAACGCTTGAACAAAAATGAAGACCTCGTTAACACACAATTAAGACTTTTAAATACCTTTTAAGGGCCTTAATTTTCTCATAATTTATTTATTATCTTTTAATACTTTAAGACCCCGCGGACACCCGCTAATTACATTTTCTAGAATTTGGTTGCCCTTCTTAGAGCTTGTTACATATCCGAGGCTTGAAGCAATGTCTTGCTTATCTTCCACTATTAGTCTGCACCTTCAATACTTTTTTTTTTTTTTTTAAGTAAAACCACAGTTCCGAAAAAAAAAAATGCACTCAATAATTAAAACGTACAGCAAAGAGCTTAGAAAGACTAAGAGGCGACACTTTATAGAACATTCCATTGCAACAGCAGCGCCCAGCAACAGCCCCGGATTCTGCCATTTTGGAGTGAAAGTGATCGGCCATCCATTGGATCTCATTACTGTTGCGATGGCAAGCAGCTGCTTTGTTTTTTATTTATTTATTTAAAAAGCACATTAAAGCTCAGATATAACCTGAAAGACGACAATACAACACTTACTTTAACAATCATCAGCACTTTTATTAGTTTATTTAACAGACTTATAATATGCTGCTGTTCTATTGGAGTTTTCATTCCAAAATGGCCGCCGCGCCCTCTAGTGGCTTTTTCCTAAATTACACTACAGTGTCGCCTCTTGGTCATTCTAAGCTCTTTGCCTACAGTCAAAACCTGATAACTTTCAAAAACAAACAAAACTACATTTTAGATCAGACAAACAGGTAATAGTGACCAAAAACAAAAACAGCTGCTTACCTCCACCTGCAACTGTCCCAACCTCCTCTTCAGGTCAGTGGTATCTTCACCTGATGTCAGCTTCTTATGGAAGTCCAACTCGGCGTCAAGCAATTCTTTCTGTGCCTACAGAAAAGACAAGTATTATACTGGGGAAAAAACTTAAATCCTAATAAACCGTAAATAGCAATCTATATCACCACAGATGACTGAAGGGAGATCTTATAACAGCTTGTGATTTTGTGAGGTTTACAGTAATACCTGTAATATTTACAATTCAAAGAAATGTAGGAAATCAACTGAATGTGAAATTAATGTGGTAGCATGTTCCCCAATATGTGATATTAAAGTCACAGGACAAGCATTCTGAAATCCTCTGATTGGGAAAAACACAACTTTTACAATTCGCTAAACAAAGCCACATCACACTTTCCAGTCCCACTTTATATTAAGTGTCCTTAACTACTATGTACTTACATCAAAAAAATAAATACAATGTACTTACTGTGTTTTTAATGTATTTGAAAACGCTTGTGGTGCTTTTGATTTGGGATAGAGGTTAGGTTATGGACAGGTTTGGTGGTATGGGTAGGTTTAAGGGTGGGTTAAGGTGTAAGGGATGGTCAACAGTGTATTTACAAATGTAATTACAAAAGTTAACTACAGATGTAGTTACAAACATGTATATAATCAAGCATAAGTACACAGTAAATACATGTATTTACACAATAAGTACATTGTAACAAACTATTAACTCCTATGTAAGTACATATTAGTTAAGGCCACTTAATATAAAGTGGGACCCACTTTCCATTTGAGTTTGCTTGACAGATACTTTGTCACAGTAATTGAGCAAAAATTAACCGTAGATACCTTTTATGTTACAATAAGGAGTTAAAAGTTATTTTCAGTTGATGAAAATAAGCGGGAAGGAGGGTCTAGAATATTACTAACAAGTACTATAATCTATGGTGTGACAAAAGAATCTCCATTGTGAAGTTCCTTACGTCTGTTTTTGACTTTGATTGTGTTGTGTTGGCAGTAGCTTGTGCGGTCGGGCTGATCTCGTTCTTCAGCTGAGAAATCTTTTCTGTCAGTTCTTTGAGAGTCTTCATGATGTTGGCCCTCTCCTCTGGCTTCATTCCTCTGTTTTTCTCCAGGCGGTTTATCAGGACCTGTAGAAGAAAGGTCAGGTAAATGTTGGTAACCTTCTTACATTTTTGTTTTTTTAACAAAACCGAATCAGAAGAAACATGAGTACTAGAGCAGGGTCATATAATGACCCATACAGTGCTCAGCATAAATGCATACGGCCTTCATAGAGCTCCCTATTGAATTACCGTATTTTCTGGACTAGAAGCCGCTACTTTTTTCCTAAGTTTTGAACTACGTAGCTTATACAAAGGTGCGACTATTCTGTGGATTTTCCTTCGCTAGGGATGCTCTAACCGGAATTAGAATCAAAAACAAGATAGACGAAAAATCGATGCAAAGAAATATAGACCATGCTACTTTTCTTTAGCTTATAAAGCATGCACGTCAAATGACTAACTGGTAATTATTATCAAATCCTCCCCCTTCATCATGGAAACCACACAAAGAAGTTATTATGATGCAAGTTTTATGTTGAAGGCCATCGATCTTGCTATCCAGGAAGGAAACCTCGCTGCTGCACACAAGCTTAGCGTCAATTAACCTATGGTAAGACGTTGGAGGCGGCTGCGTGAAGAGCTCCTGCAACGTCGAAAGTCGGGAAAAGCTTTCAGAGCACATAAAAGCAGATTGCCTGAACTAGAGGTCTGCATTCCTGCGGTACATATATACTCAATATTATGTTATATATATATATATATATATATATATATATATATATATATATATATATATATATATATATATATATATATATATATTATAATTAATAAACAATAAATGTAAAGATTTTGTGATTTGTAATTTCTTGTAATAACTAATTTGAATTTAAATGCTATCTATTCCCAAAGATGTTCAGTGAGCAAACTCTTATTTTAATGGATATAATGGTTTAATGAAACTGTTTTGTTTAAATCCATCAAAAATTACTGCCTATATTCCCTGAAAAATGTATGAACTACAGCTGTAAGCAGCAATTAAGGGGCCAAGCAGTTCAGACCCATAATGAGCAAAGCAGAGGCCAAAAGCAACAAGGTTAGTAAAGAGCACCAAACCAAGTGAAACAATGCATTTTTGAATACATTTGAAGTATGTTTCACTAAAATTTAAGGAATTAATGATTGATTGGTTCATAACTTTTGACCAATAGGTGGCATTCAACCATTATTCTTATTTTGCCTTCATATTTAATCTTAAATCTAAATCACAGGTGTCACATCCAGTTCCTCAGTTCTGCAGTTTAGTTCCAACCCTAATTAAACACACCTCATCAAACTAATTGAGTCCTTCAGGCTTGTTTGAAACCTACAAGTAAATGTGTTGAAGAGGGTAAAAACTCAACTGTGCACTGCTGCGGCCCTCCGGGAACTGAATTGAAATCTAAATGATGAAAAACAGCCACTACAGTAATGATATTACCATCATACCTTCTGACATTCAATCTGTTTTTCAAGCATTTCTTGTTTCTTCTTTCTCATGTCTTGCTGCAGTTTCAGCGCCTCCTGAGGAACAGAGATCAGAGGTCATGTTAGTGCAAGTAAATACCAGACTGTGCAATCCAAGCAGGTGGAACAGCTGCTATTGGCTTATGGGAAGAGAAGGAAAAGGTAAATCTCACCTGCTTCTTTTTCAGAGCCTCTTGAGCTTCCAGTGCTTTCCCAGTCTTTCCTAATGATTTTGATGCAGCTTTCAACACGGTGCGAGAGAACGGACCTTTCACTAAACTTGAAGGTGGTGTCAGTCCCTTGTTTAAGAGATAAATAAAAACAAATGTTATTTGGAATCACTTAATTTCTGTGTATTTGTCTTTACATCTGTGTATATATATTGTGTGCTATGTTATAACACATAATTGGGGCCAGATGGAATCTGCGGACGTTTTTTGCTATTTCTGCGGAGAATTTTGGTAAAAAATCTGTGGATTTCCATGGAATTATTTTGGGAGTATCATAACTAAAACCTTAATATGTGAAACAATTTTTTTTTCTTTTTAACTTTAATATAATGTTTAAAATGCAAATCCAATTAGATCCAATTTATTTGGTAAACAAAGCACGTCACTTTTATAACATATCTACTAAAAGACAGAAAATAATACTGTACAAACTGTACTGCACATCAGTCAGATGAACATTTTCATATTAGTCAATAATCCTACTGTAATTAATTTAAAAACTGAATAAATATAGATTTACACACAGTTACTCGAGTAAATAAACAGAATTAATGATGGCTAAAAATCTGCGGAAAATCTAATATACATATATATATTTATATATACACACACACATATACACACACACACACACATACATACATACATACATTATATATATATATACATATATATACATTAGGATGGATGCGGTGAGGAGGGGTGACGCCTGTTTCACACCGCAAGCGTCAGCGGCGCGTGAGCAGAGCGTGAGCAGCGCGTGTGTTTTCAGCGTCCATGTTAACAGATTAGAGCTTTCATACCGCACGCAGCAGCAGCGCGTCAGTGCGAGGCGTGAGCGTCGCCGAAGCAGCAGTGCAGCGATAGTTTCGGCGCTGGGTCTATTTTTGACGCGCTGCTCACGCTCAATTAAAGTGACAGTGCATTGATGATGACCAAAACACATTGAATGACAGTAAAAAGTAGCAATTTTACCCAATAAATGCGTTAATAATGTCAAATGGTTTATATATAGTCATTCAAATGAACTCAAAACGATTAAAAACGGCAACAAACATTTATTTAGGCCCGAACTACAAAACCGAATGTAAAACAATTTTACTATCAGTTTTGCTTAAGTTGCACACTAGTGTTGTAGGAGAGGGGAAATAGAATATTTACGGGATTTGTAGTCCATAGCGAAGTGTATTGTGGGTAGTGTAGTGCGACACGCATGCTGGATGATGTGAGCTCGCTGTGTTCTGTGCAGCTGAGCAGAGCAAGAAAGTTTTAATCGGCTTTGTTTTATGTTCACTCGAGTTATTCCTACCGGGAGCTGTTTGCACTGTGAATCTGACAACACGAAAATAAGTAAAAGAATGGCATGCATTAATTACTTTTGTCCGTCTCATCATCTGCACGAGCATGAATTAACGAGCTGTTATTCTGCCGCTGGACATCACTGAAGCGGAGAAAGTAACACTAGTTTGATAATGTATAAATATCATTATAACTATATTGTATAAATATGATTATAACTAGGTCTACAGCAACCTGATAATCAAAAAACAAATGACATGATATCACAGGCGATTGTCTTCTGACTGTAGACACTTCTCATATAAGTTAGCTTGAGAAGCATACAGTACTATTTGATCTATAAAATTTGTAAAATAAACATTTGCAGGTTAATGAAACAGCATAGGAGGGGCCTTGGTACAGATGAAAAGTTTAAAAAGTGTATTTGTATATAGAGGGGTAACTAGATAGAATAGACAGAGATAGGTTGATCTCAGCAGCAGCTGCCGAAGAGCTGCGCGCTGCAGACGCAGCTGGTGTGAAAGGCAAACGCCTGCGTGCTGCTACTGCTCGACATACGCGCTGCTCACGCTCTGCTCACGCGCCGCTGACGCTTGCGGTGTGAAACAGGCGTGAGAAGGACGCGCAACGTATTTGAAGACGCGTGATTACCGGGACATTATCACTTGTTTGCGGGCACTCCCTGGTCTTGCGGGAGACTCGGGATGTCTGTTGAATGACCTCCCACCCTACTCATAATTCTCTCTTCATGTATGCCTATTATATCCATAAGACACTGCGATGTAACCGCGCTCGGATCGCATCGCTTTCTCACTACAATCGATCCGCTCCAGAGTCCGTTTCAATCGAGCTGAGACCACCTCATTCAAGCGATCTCGGAGCAATTGTTTCAAGCGATTGGTAGATTCACATATGCCAAACGAACCTAGCTGGGCAAACTAGATAGGGTCCGAAACAAAAGTCTAGGTGTGAAAGCACCCTAAAATTTAAACGTCTAATGGTTCAAGAAACCCTCGAGTACTGTTTTGAGCTTTTGTCAGCTAATTTCATCTTCCCGGTTTATAATGATCTTTGGGCCGGGATCAAAATCGGTGACGTAGCACAAAACTGCAAGTGCAAAGATGACACGTCGGTTTCTCATTATTATATTATTCATATCCTATAAGAAGAGCCGGCTTAATTATCCATGACTGTGCATGCTTTCCGAAGGCAAGACAGAGCTGCCAGTGCCAAGCTGTGAGACCCTATGTTGCAGATTGGGTGAGACCAGCTGACCCTTTTTGGCCCAAGGTATTCGGCAGGCCGAAAAAGGCCGGCTGCTGGCCCAGAGAAAGCCCCATTTTAGCTCGATTAGGCCCCGGATGTGACAGTGGAAACGCGACTGGCCTTTGGCTAGCCCTGGCTCGCTCGCTTTAGGCGCGATAGTTGAAACGCAGCTAGAGTTACTTTTTCCACAAGGTTACATTACATAAAATGATTTGATGTAATCTATGTAGTTTCTATGTGTAGCAGTATCGTATACAAACACACACAAAAAAGTATTTATTTATTTATTTATTTTTACCACTGAGGGTTCTTGGCTTGGACTGGTTGGTTCAGTGCTGCCCGTGATGCCTGCGGTTCCTGTGGCAGCATGGTGTTTTGGGATGGTCTTATTCAGTACGTAAGATGCTGCAGGGTGCTGCTTGTTAATCACCTGGAAGTAAAAATAAATAAAAATCTGTTAAAGCATGCAGAAGAATGGCAGGAAATAGGATCAAAAATAATACAACAGTAAAAAAGCTGGAAAGTAAAATTCCAACTTTTAACCTTTACAAAAACAACCTAGTGAATTTGCTGGAATTAGCATACATTACTTAACCTTGCTGATTCAACATGACATTCCACCAGTATCAATAGCATCACTATCTTCTGACAAACCTTGTGTGTTGGGGGATGTTGTTGTCCAGGGTTTGTGCTCTGACTGGGTCCCTGCTCCTGTGTGTTGGCTGTGGGTTCTCTATGCCAGTAAACTCTGATGAAGCGGTTATTGAGAACGGCTTCAGTACTGGAGATAGCTCTCCTAGCCTCATCATTGGCTGTATATTGGATTAATGCTGCCTCGGGATCGCCACCAAACACCACCTGTGGATATGACATCAGAGCAAGCACAAAAACATGAAGTGATTTTGTATAACAAAAGCATTACATAAAAATAAATAAATGCACACATAAATGCAGATGTACTGGGCAAAATTGATATAGCAGAATACTTACCTGAATATTGACTATTGTGCCAAACTTGCTGAAGTGCTCGTTGAGTTTGGTGATGTTGTTCAGCTCACGAGGGATTCTGCGAACTTCTAGTTTGGTGTTGACATAATAGTGCTTTTTCGGAAATGTGGGTTTATGCTGGTTATTAAAATTTGGCCTGTAAAGTTGAAAAGTCTTCATTAGAGCGCAAATCAGGAAATCTACCCATTAATGTAACTATTGTGCATAAATGTATTGTAAATATACTGTATGAATATAAAACAATCCAAATAAATAATGAATTTTTAGTTCAAAAAGTTGGTGGTCAAGTAAGTATTTTTCATAATAAAATTGAAATGAAATCTTATTATGAAATAATGCCCACTCTCCAATACATATTTAAATAATTATTTTTTATTATATATTAATATATAATGAGCACCCCCTCATAAATAAAAGCATACTTTTTTCTTTTCTTTTTTAACACTGTTCTGAGAGCAGCTTTTAATTTCTTATACAATCATGCTGGAAATGTCCTTTGATTATACTTCAAGGTATGCAAAGATTAAGGGCGTACTCACACTATGCCATCCGAACCGCGCCCAGGCCCGATTACCGAATCTTTTGAGAAGTGTGAGTGCACTGAATCAGGCTCAAGCACGGTTCACCTGGCCGGCCCTGGCCCGGTTAAAAGAGGTGTGCCTGAGCGCGGTTCACTTGGGCTTTGGCGCGGTACGCTTGTGTGTGAGTGCAAAACGCGCCAAAGCCCGAAACTGAAAGCGAGACGTGACTTTTAAGGGGCTGTTTCATATGGATTTATTAATCATTCTTACTGTTCAGTGAACGCAAACTGCCGTAGTTTATTAAAGACGAGAACTCCTCACAGCACAACAGCTGCGCGGCTTCAGCAGACCTCCTCATTCCTGCAGCACGAGGGCTTTATGATTGTTTATGAGCGCCAAAAGTGGCGGATGTGTTCGGCGAAATATCTGACTGCGTGTCCCCGCATCCCTAAGGACTGTTTGGTGAAATATTTGACTGCATGTCACTGCATATCAAACGACTGAAACGATATAACTAGAGAAATCTCCACTGTGCTGCTGAGTGAGAGAGCGCTTTTCACTGAACAGCGCAGCAGCGATGACGTAAGCGTGCCGAGGTCCATTTGTGGTGTGAGTGCGGGCCATCGGGGGAGACAGGAGGTGGGACAAGCGTGCTTTGGCCCGTGACCAATCTGAGGGGTGTAAGAACTCGACAAAGCACAGAAAGCGAGTGGGACATTTATATTTGTTCATTTGCTATAAATGCTCACGTTGTTGTGCACATGTACTTGAGTTTTTAAACGTACAGTTCATATATCTGAATATTAAAGGACAAAATTGTATTATAAATAATATATAGATATATTTAGACATTTTAATACAAGAATTCTTGTGCTGTGAAGTAAAACATAAAATTGTGTATGGAAAGCATCGTCAATGCACCATGATGCACCGAGATATCGAACTGAACCAAATCGATGGCATGATAATCGTAACCAAACTGAGAGACCAGTGTATGTTCACACCCCTACTTTAAAGGGTCATGAAACACCAAAACACATTTTTTGAGCTGTTGACAGTCGTATATGTGTCCCACACTGCTAAAAACACTATTAGGACATCTATATTTCACTAAAAAGTGTAAATTGGTTGTTTTTGCGTTATTTCAAGCAAATTCGTACTTCCGGTTTGAAACTAATTTTTGAAGCTGCGTCACGGTCATGACATAATAGCGTGTATTCCAGCGTGCAGACTGGACGTCTGTGCCAGAGTGTGTCTTATTACGTCTTACAGTGTGATGCATTAATGCATGAGTAAGGCTTGGTTCAAACCAATCAGCGCTCTCTATTGTGCAACTTCATTAATATTCATTACTGTCACAGTATTTAGACGGCAGAGATGCCACATTGTGTTGGCAAAACAAGCGTGAAGTGTTGCTTTTATAGTTTGCTGCAGTTAAGTTTTGTTTTAATTTTCTCTCTGTGAGAGCTCAGCTGGAGTCACGTGTGGATTAACAGTGTACGCGACGCTCGACAACAATAACTTGCGTGTCTAAGGAGGATTATTGTTTACCTGAGAGCTGTTCTCATCTGCAAACGCTGAGATCCGGATTAGCTTGTAGTCTCCTCTTAATAAAGATGCGGCTCTAGTTGCTGGTGATGGTCCTGTCTCTACAGATTTGGTAAGTGAGCGACCAGTGCTCTTTGTTTATTCAGTTTGTTCATATCGAACTAAGTTAACTATTAAACCGAGTGTAAACATGTTAGCACCACAACCAAACTTTAACCTCGTGTAGGGTTTTTACCGCATTTAGTGACCGGAATAACACACGCGGCTTTCTGACACTACCTGCCGTGTGCATCTAAGTTTCTGGGAAATGCTGAGTTTTTTTTTTCTCTCATTCGCCGTGCGGTATCAAACATTGCATGAAAAATACACGCTTAGAGCAGTTCCTCGAATCAAATATCTCGTTTGTCGCGAGGGACATTCCCTGAATGAAAGAGCCAAACTGCAGTTAAAGTCCACCATTTAATAATTTGGCAAATAATTCGACTACAGATGTCCATGTAAACACAGTCACTTTCTCCCCTGTGTGTGTTTTGACTCTGAAACTCGCGCGTGCCCAAACAGACACTCCCACACCATCCCACTTTTCTTCCTCCGACACTCCCCCCTAAACAGAGCTGGACACGCCCACTTTTCTGACTTTTTCCAAAGTAGAGATTTGAAAACACCCTGCTGAAACGAGGGGGTTTCATGGCCCTTTAAAGACATTATTTTATTCTCGACACTACACGCTTATCACTCACTTGTCCATCCAGGGTTTTTTGACCTGTGGTCCATCTGTAGACGGTAGACATCTCTTCCTGTTCTCCTGCTCAGAGTTGAACCTCATCTCACTGTTTGATACACTCGTGACTGATGGCTCTGTCTGGATCACTATGTTAGCTGCTAAAAACACAAAGAAAACTGATCGGTTAAAGAATCTCTCGTGGAATCCACAAACTAAATCTTTGTAGACCTGAACATTCTTATACCTCGAGAGTTTAGTCCATCACCAGAGGTGAGTCCAATAAGGTTGGGTCTCTGTGTCTGGATGCGAGGGATGAAATGACGGTACTGAGCTCTGCCAGGTCCGGTCAGTCCTGGAGACTCTGGGTTATAGGCCTCAGGGTCATAGTTGTCTGTATTCAGCAGAACAAACACATGATTAGCCATATAAATGAAGTAAAAAGCAAACACTTAATACAGCATGGAAGATCTTTCCCCTTGAGTTAAAAAATACATTTAAGCTATTTCTTCAAATTTACTTTATGATTCAAAATAATTTTTTTATGTGCAAAATTTATCAACAGCAAAACTAATTGGACAATAACAGCCACTCCAGCCTTCAGAATACTTCACTGTTTTTAAAATAAAGTCAATTATACACAGTGCTCCTTTTGAAAATTGATATTTTTATCCATTTCCCAGTGAATAAAGACAATATATCAGCGTTTCCCACAGGTTTGAAATATACTTGAGGTGGTAGCTGGATTGAAACACACTTTTTACCCACAGCACATAAACAGTTAACTATATGCAACAAACAAAACATAGTTTGAATTAACACCATTTTAATTTACTGAGTATCTGTTTTAAACTCTTTCTTTTCTTTTTAATTGGTTAAAGTAGAATTAAATCCGCTATTTCTTTTACTTTTATGCTATTCAGGAGCCATCAGCACGCACTAACGTAAAATCTGCTCCTCTTTCTCTCTCTTTCAATTTCAGGCTGCTTTATTGGCATGACATTTTGTACAGTATTTCCAAAGCATTTAAAATGTATAAATTGTTATATTTTGACAACCAAATTAATAAAACATTGAGCAAATGAGAAATACATAACAGAAAAATTGAATAAAAACAGACAATATCTCTAAAAAATATAATTATTACAAGAATAAAACATGTAGATTATTTAAATAAGGCAAAGGAGTTGATTACCCATTTCTAATAGTATACAAACATTCTGCAGCCAATTTAGATATAATTTTATCCTTTCAGAGTATTTAATAAAGTTTTTCAGAGTCGTTTAGATTAAAGAATTTATTATGTAATATTTTGCTCTCACGGCTGTATGCATAAAATTACCGAGAGCTTAGAAAACAAAAGCAAAATCAAATCCCGGACATTTTAGTAGATTTAGAAACCCCAGCGAGATGCAAAAATGTGCGGGTCACTGTGGGTCTGCAGAGCACGAGTGATTGTCTGTGGGAGTGTAGACAGACACAAATTCTTTTTGCTTTTAAGTATTTTTACAGTAATTTGATGAGAAAATTTGTTATTTGTAACAAATTACAAATAAAAAAGAACTTAATTATTCTAAAACTTTGACGTAGCAAAGTAGCAAACACACATGCCTATTTAACACAACCACCACCAATTGACAATAAAGTGTGTGTAATATATACAGTTGAAGTCAGAATTATTAGCGCCCCTTTGAATTTGTTCTTTTTTGAATATTTCCCAAAAGATGTTTAACAGAACAAGATAATTTTAACAGCATTTCTGATAATATTTTTTCTTCTGGAGAAAGTCTTATTTGTTTTATTTCGGCTTGAATAAAAGCAGTTTTAAATTTTTTTAATACCATTTAAGGACAAAATTATTAGCCCCTTTAGGCTATATATTTGTTTTCGATAGTCTACAGAATAAACCATCATTATACAATGACTTGCCTAATTACCCTAACCTGCCTAGTTAACCGGATTAACCTAGCCTTTAAGTCAAGCCTTTAAATGTCACTTTAAGCTGTATAGAAGTGTCTGGAAAAATATCTAGTCAAATATTATTTACTGTTATCATGGCAAAGATATATAATATATATATGCATACACACACATACATGCATACACACACACACACACATATATATATATATATATATATATATATATATATATATATATATATATATATATATATATATATATATATATATATATACATACAGTTGAAGACAAAATTATTAGCCCCCTATAAAATATTTCATTATTTTTCAAATAACTCCCAAGTGCTTTTTAATGGATTAAAGATTTTTTAATGGAACACAAAATTTTTAAACATAACAGTTTATTCAGGAAGCTTTGAGTGTTTGTAATACAAACAGAAACACAATTATAATCAAAAATAAAAAAAAGCTTGGAGGTCAAAATTATTAGCCCTCTGATGTTAATAGTCAATAGTGTAACCCTCTTGCTTGATAACAGCCATCAGTCGTTTATTGTAGCTCTCAACAAGTTTCAAGCATGTCTCCTGAGGAGTGTTAGCCCATTCTTCCTTAGCAAATCTCTCAAGCTCTTCCAGATTTGTTGGTCTTCTGGCATGAACTCTAGACTTCAGTGTCCCCCACAGATTTTCTATTGGATTCAAGTCTGGGCTTTGTGCAGGCCAGTCAAGGACTTTCACTTTGTTCTGTTGAAGGTAGTTCTTTACCAGAAGTGAGGTATGCTTTGGGTCATTATCATGCTGGAATACAAAACGTCGACCCAAACCAAGTTTGTTGCAGACTGTTTGAGGTTATTTTTCAAAATCTTCTGGTAGTCTTCCTTTTTCATGTTTCCTTCAACCCTGATAAGATTCCCAGTTCCACATGCACTGAAACATCCCCATAGCATTATACTCCCACCGCCATGTTTCACTGTGGGAATGGTGTTCTTTGGATTAAATGCCTCTCCCTTCTTCCTCCAAACATAGGCAACATCTCTATGGCCAAAGAGCTCTAGTTTTGTCTCATCTGACCAAAGGATACGTTTCCAGTATTCATTATTTTTCTCTAGATTGCCCCTGGCAAACTTCAGTCTAGCTTGGAGGTGTCTCTTTTTTAAGAGGAGTCTTTCTTGGTCGACAACCCTTTTAGTTCACTCCTGTGCAGGGCTCTAGTGACCGTCTTTGCTGAGACATTAATTCCAGACTTGGCTAAGTCATTCACTAGTGTCTTGGCAGTTGTTCTTGGGTCTTTAGAAACCTCTCTTACTAATTTTCTTTCCAAAGTTTTGGAAGTCTTTCGCTTTCTACCTCTGCCAGTTATGTTCTCCACAGTGTGGATCTCATTAAACTTCTTGATAATACTTCTCACGGCACTTCTTGACACTTGAAAACGCTTTGATAAACATGTATATCCTTCTCCTTCTTTGTGAGCCTCAACAATTCTTTTTCTCAAGTCTAAACTTATTTCTTTTGTCTTTGTCATGATGACAGAATGCATTATCGTACTATTTGTTTTTCAAGACACCAGTTTTAAGCTTTAAGTGCAATTTAAAGGCTTAATTAGGTTAATTACCTTAACTAGGCAAGTTAGTGTAATTAGGCAAGTCATTGGACAACAGTAGTTTTTTCCTGGAGCCAATCAAACAAATAATTACTTAATAATATTGACCTTAGCAGTTTTTACTTAAAAAAATAAATAAATAATTATTTCACCCAAAATAAAAGAAAAAAAAACCTTTTCCAGAAGAAAAATACAAAAGGAAATGCCGTGAAAACAATTTTCTTGCTCTGTTCAACAGCACTTGTGAAATATTTGTAAAAGAATACAAATTTCATAGGAGGGCTAATAATTTTGACTTCAACTGTATATATATATATATATATATATATATATATATATATATATATATATATATATATATATTTATATATATATATATATACATACTATACATACATATATATATATATATATATATATATATATATATATATATATATATATATATATATATATATATATATATGTGTGTGTGTGTGTGTGTGTATGCATGTATGTGTGTGTGTGTGTGTGTGTGTGTGTATGCATATATATATTATGTTCTATCGTATAATTTGTGGCATCACAAAATACATTTAAGGGAATACTTTTTCATAATCGATATGAGAGTAATATTACACACCATTAAGGGGATGCAGGCAAAAACATGAATATCAGCATCGTGAGACAATCTTTAAAGCACAGTTTAAATTTTGCATTTTTAGTTAGTTATAATTTGCTTTTATGATAGTCCTGTATATATTAGTTTTTCAACAGTGTTTTACATTTTATTTATTTCATATTTCTACATTTTGAATCAATCATATGCCCTGAAGTTCTAAATAAAGTAAAAAAAAAATAGGATCACATATAAATAAGTACTTTCAAAGCATATACTTTAAATTGTAAAAAAAAAAAAAAAAAAAAAAACGTTTTTTTTTTTTCTTGTGGTCAATATTTAACAAACTTACTAATAACTATTAATTGTGCTACTATATTGTAATATATATTGTTATCAGATATGAGTTGACTAATAATAATAAACAATTTCAGATGGTTTCCCAGAGATGGGTTGTGGCTGGAAGGACATCCGCTGCGTAAAAACTTGCTGGATAAGTTGGCGGTTCATTCCGCTGCGGCAACCCCGGATTAATAAAGGGACTAAGCCGACAAGAAAATGAATGAATGAATGAATTTCAGATGGACAGCACAAACAAAGCACTGAGGTTTCAGCTTAGTGAATCAAAACCAAAAATTGCCAATTACTTTTCTTTCTTTTTTAAATTGATGTTTTTTATGGTGCGACCACACGTTAAACAAACAACATGAGACGGTAAGCTCCAGAAGTAGCAGGAGTATTCGAGCTGAGAATAGAAAAGCTTACATTCAGAGAGTGTGTACTGAGGGTGGAGAGAGGCAGAAGAGGAGGAAGAAGAGGAAGGAGGAAGTGGTGGAGGAGGATTAGGAGGTGGTCCCACTCCAGGAAGGGCCAAAGGGGAAGAGGTGGTGGTTCTGGAGTGGGGTGGAGTGTCTATCCCAGTAGCTGGGATTAGAGGAGGTCCTAAAATAAAAACAAGAACAAACTGATCCACACTAATACTCAAAGCTAAATGTGATTCCTGCAATTTATGACAATTATACAAAGTCAAAAGCTAAAAGATGGTTACTCCGTCCCTACACAATTTTATTTACTCACCATCATGTTATTCCAAACCAATGAAAATTGTGTCAAAGGATTATACAACCCTGTGACTATATTTTCAGAGATGTTGAACATCAATTAAAGGCATGTTTCAACAAAAAAATTAAATATTAGTTTATTTACTTGCCCTCAATAGATATTAAACCTATTTGAGTTTCTTCCCTCTTAAGAAAACAAAGGAAGATAAGAAAGCTAAAAACATGACTTCCACTGTAGGACAAACAAATGCTATGAAATTCAATGGTTATAGGTTTCCAGCATTCTTCATAATATCTTTCTTTGTCTTCAAAACAAGAAACAGGTTTGGAACAAACGACGGGTAAATAAGTAAATAATGACTATATAATAATGAATATGAATAATAAAGGTTTGCCTGTGATTTCAGGCATTTGTCTGTGATTTCTCAAAACCTGTCAGCAAGCCAATATCGGTGCTAAAATCACGCAGTCTGAACTAGGCATAAGGCAGCGAAAACACAAGGCTGAAAAAGGTGACCGTAACAAACCGTACAGCACCAGTCAGTGGAAACGGGCCATAAGTGTCCTAAAAAGAGCGTCCTTTATGCGTGAGAACCAATAATGTTTACTTTTTTGTGTTGAGCAAAGTGGGTTTTTTACCTGTGGGCAGCAAGCCCCCAGTGGGCCGTGACAGTATTGCAGGGGGGCCTCCAGCTGTTATTTAATAGAAATAGAAACATTGTTAATATATGTAACAATATCTAGACAAGAAATAATACATTGCTACTATTCACTCACTATTCAGTTAATAAGAATAGAATCCAATGTCATAGAATAGATTTAGCATTAACATCTTGTTACATTTAATGAACGATGAACTTTTTTTTTTTTCAGAACCGAAAGATTGTTCCAAAATTTATTTAGTTTTTTAATAAACCAGCCTGAAAAAAGCTAGCATCTGATATCATGTACCAGGGCTATTCAATTATTTTATCATGGGGGCCGGTTTATGAAAAGCATCCCAAACGAAGGGCCGGAGAGATATGACTTGCTATATGAGTGATAACACAACTGCATATAAGAGCCCATATGCTGTATTTATGTTCATAAAGACACCCACGTAGGCTTTTTCTACATTAAAATGTTAATATATTGTATTTTAAAACGGCATAATATCAGTGCATTGTACAACTGACTTTTTTTTACAAACATTCAAATGTTATATTTCGCACAACAAAAGCAGTGCATTGCTGAAGGCTTCTTCTACATTCAGACACATTCAGATGTTATGTTTTAAACTGCATAACAATTAGTGATGCAACATTATAGATTTTGGTAGCTTGGTTAAAGTCTGAAGAATAATCATGGTTTCACGGTTATCACGTCTATTGTAAATTCAAGCTTTATATTAGATAAGTATCTATTTAGATTAACTGTTGTTATCATCTGGGTTCATGCATACATAATCATTTTAATAATAACTCGTCTAACATATCTTTTGTTTACATTGCACTGAAAGGCGTGCACAACTCTCACCGTGAGATGTTTTCTACTGCGTGCGCCCAGAAAGACGCAAGCGCATCGCTCCACTGGCGCCCGCATATTGTCATATATTACATTAAAAAAATCAAACTTGCAAGAGGAAAAGACGTAATATGGGAACGGCCGCTGCTATAGTTAAATTGGTGTGCGTGCGTTTTAATCTCGGTGTATATACTTGGAACTTTAAACTAGCGCACAGTTGGCAACTTGGCACAACTTTTTAAATGCAGCAGCTTCGTTTTGTTTCGTGCAACAGAAATGCAGCTTAAAGGTTCAGGACACCCTGGAGAACTTTTTTTTTTATATTAACAGATTTGTGTGTGTTGAGCATCAGTTAAGACAATGTTAGCACCTGCCAGCTTTAATTGTGGGGAAAACTGGATCATTTTGAGCTTTTGTCAGCTAATTTCAGCTTCCGGGTTTAAAATGATTTTTGGGGCGGGATCAAAATCGGCGACATAGCGCAGTACTGCAAGTGCAATGATGATGCGTCGGTTTCTCATTATTATTCATGAGACCTGCCAGACTTGCAAGAGTCAAGCCTGAGCTGTGAGACACGGACGGACCCACGACACACAGTATTTAGCCGTTCATGAAGGCTCATATGCGTTTGTTTCCATGATCCACGGGGTTTGTTGCATGTTTTTCCCCGCGATCCTGTCAAGGCTGATCATACAGCAAAGCTTTGTTTGTGCTGCTAGCATTTTTTGTCGGGAGAGCAGCACGAGAATTAGAGAATGGCGGACGCTGTCTTTTATCAGGAGTTCATTCACATTCAGACACATCACTGTGCTGCTGTGTTTGCCTAAATCCTCCAGATTACCAGCAGGGCTACTGGTTAAAATAGACAGGTCAGGAGACCTGCTGCACTGAGTCTGCTGGATACGGGGATTGAGGGAGAATCCTCATTTATAGGGTTTACATGAACACACTTATCTTTATAATGATATAAATTGTGGTTATGTGTATATGAAATTACGAATAACAAATGTAGCAGGGCATTAAATCACTGTTCATTTCTTTGCATTTTAACTTTGTAAACTATAAACTCATGCGTCTCCTCACGATTTATCTCATTTTGTGAGCTAGCTTCGTTCGCTCACGTTCTCCCCTGCTGGCTACGCCCACTCCTGCCCGAGAAAAAATTCTGAAGTAGACTTTAACCGAAATTGGGGGGTGTCATGGCCCTTTAAAGAAGCCTTTACAATTCATTAACTGTGACGAATTAAAGCGCAGTTAATAGTGAAATCGGCTAATTGCTGCATTCCTATTAACTATATCAGTGCACTGTACAAAAGGTCTTTTCTACAAAACATATCCATGGTTTCGGCTGTCCGCACCACTAGCTACTCACACTCTGCGCAGCAGCTCGCGCTGTTATAAACAGACTCGCATCACTTCATAACTATAGCGGCCGTTTTTCGACTGAACTAAATTCATTTTTGATGTCCTGGTCACACTTTTTGGAGGGCAGGAACAAACTGCCTCGGGGGCCGGATTTGGCCCGTGGGCCGCCAATTGAATAGCCCTGTCATATACTATATGAATAGGTAATTACTATGAATAACTTTGAGAAATGTTTTTCATATGGACACTTCTGAATCTTACATTAGAGCGTCAGAGTACTTACAATCTACTCATTTGCTCATTCGCTTATTGTTTTCTCATCTACTAAATAGTAGGAAATAAACGGATTTCAGACGCAGCTCTTGTCTAGCATGGTGAAATCAACATGCTCACCTGGCATGGGGTAAATGCCTGGAGGCGGGGGCTGTCCATGAGGTGGAAGAGGCATGGGCATGCCAGGAGGAGGTTCTGTCATTGGTGGCATGGGCATCCTTGGCAGGGCTGGTGGGGGTGGAAAAGGGATCATGGTAGGAAGTGTAACGTCATCCACGATCAGAGGATCATTGCCATGATCAAAAGGACAGAGATCCCCTCGTATACAAAATCCTTTCTCTGGAATCAAAAAAAAAAAAAAAAAAAAAACGGAATAATTTGTTAAATTAACAACATCACAACAATTTTCAATGCAGAAAGTATTTTTGCTGAAGTACTCGTGTAACATATGAGGAGTATCAAAGTTGTCCAAGGCATCATTGCTTAATCCAGGGGGATGAACTATGTACTACTACATGTACTAGTAGTACTATGTACTACTACTGTACATGTTTTAATTTCCTTGCTGATGTCTTGAACTGTTGTTTCAGTATTTCTACACAATGGTTTTTTTTTCATGATGCCATCTATACTGTGAAGTGGACCAGTCCCTCCTGCAGCAAAACAGCCCCACAACATGATGCTGCCGCCTCCTTACTTCACAGTTGGGATAATGTTCCGAGGCGTGTAAGCTTTCCTCTTTGTCCTCCAAATATAACAATGGTCATTATGGCCAAACAGTTCAATATTAGCTCCATCAGACCACAGGACATGTCTCCAAAAATTAGTCTTTTCCCCAGTGTAATTTAGCTAATTGTAATCTGGCTTTTTTGTTGATTCTGACTTGTTGATTTTCCCATGTTGTCACACAAGGAAGCAGTGTGTTTGAGGTTTTCCTTAAATACTATTCTACAGTTATGCCTCCACTTAACTCAAATGTTGTCAATTAGCCAATCAAAAACTTCCAAAACCTTGACACCATCATCTGAGCTTTTTCAGAGGCAGAATAATCTTATTGTATGTAAACAGGATTTTCAAGGAAAGCTAACAATTTCTCAAAAAATCTCTCAAAAAAATGGTTATGTGCCTTTTTATACAGTGTATGTAAACTTCTGGTTTCAACTGGATATATATATATACACACACACAAACACAGACACACACACATAAAAACTATGTATGGAAAGTCACATCTTTCTCTTTAAGATGGCAATTTATAGCTTCTTTAGTAATAGCATTGCACTATCATGCTAACAATCCATCCGTCAGTCATCCCTGTGTATGGTTTCCTCAAACTCCCACCACTGTGAAAAATACCCCAGCTCCAGAAAGACAGGGTAGTAAAAATAAACACTGCTGCTTTAACCCCACTCCCATAGGGCCATGTGGTGAAGACTGCTACAACACAGTCATTAGTGATGTGTTAGAAACAGACACCCTGAAGAGTTAAATATGTCCTTAGACAATTTCAAGACACTTCAGTGCTTCTGATGTATCACACACAATTTGACTTAGATTTTAAAGACATCCAATGGCTGCAAAAAATAGTTATTGAACTAATTGCCATTTAAGAAAGATAGCACATGTAAGGGCAATAGATTTATTCACTTATTTACAAACTTTAAGCGAAATTAAAAAAAAAGGTTTAATATATAAAATATTTTTCAATACATTTAGAAAAGCATTTTTTTCCAATGTCAAACATTATTGTAACACATTTATATTTAAGGTAATAAACTGCACCTGTGGGTAGGGATGGGTATCGTTAAGCTTTTAACGGTATTACTACTTTTATCGATCCCACTGATCAGTTTGTTTCTTTAAGGGTTCTTTTATTTGTACTTTTTGTAGTGTTTTTTAAATGAAAAACAAAATACTAATTGAACAGAATTAACAACACTTTATTTTATCATTAAGTTTTGGTCCCACTTTATATTAAGTGTCCTTAACTACTATGTAGTTGCATCAAAAAATAAATACAATGTACTTACTGTGTTCATAATGTATTTGAGAACACTTGTGGTGCTCTTAAATTGGGATAGGGGTTGGGTTATGCATAGGTTTGGTGGTATGGGTATGTTTAAGGGTGGGTTAAGGTGTAGGGAATGGTCAGCAGTGTATTTACAATTGTAATTACAGAAGTTAGTTACAGATGTAATCACATACAGGTATTAAATCAAGCATAAGTACACAATAAATACATGTATTTAGACAATAAGTACATTGTAACAAACTATTAGTTCCTGTGTAAGTACATATTAATTACGGACAATATAAAGTGTTTTATATTGGTTTATACTGGTTTATACAGTTTTAAACCATTCTTCTGGAGAAAAATCAACATGTTTCTTTTCTGGCAGAAGTCGGGATCGTTCTTGGTTAATCGTGCTCCCTGCAGTCGAAAATACCCTCTTTGAGTTGCAAAATGCAGTTTAATGAGATAATGTGAAACACATTCACTTAAATGAGTTAACAATGTTTTAGAACCGTGGTTCTCAAACATTTTTCATCAAGTACCACCTCAGAAAAAATGTGTCTCCCTTAAGTGCCACCATAATGAGCAGCATTGAAATACAGTAGCGTAGTAGGCCCAGTAAAGCAGCTACAACTCTGCAAAGTTAAAAAACGTGGCAGATTACCTCAGAAATATAAGCTTTATGTCATATATGACATATTATAAACATCATTTTTGATAAATTTTGAAATGTGTGTAGCATGTACATTACATATTTGATTTCTCAGCGTACCACTAGAAGGAAGCCTGCGGACCACTAGTGGTACACAAACCACAGTTTGAGAACCACTGTTTTAGAAGATAACTGTGTTTTTAATACAGTTTTGGGGCATCTTGAAATGTAAAAATAAGCTGTTTTTTTATATAAATTTCTTAATGCATAGTTTATTATTAGGCTATTCATCGGCTATATTTGTAAATACAGCTGATGTAAAAGCATTTTTAATGTTTAAGATTTATTTAGGCTACTGCAGAAAAAAATACTGTTTTCATTGTAACCGAATGTGTGTGTTTATTTAACATTATACTAATTTAGGTGATTGACTGCTAGCATAACAATGTAGGTGATGTAACGTTGCCGTTAGTAGCTAGGCAGTCAAAAACCTTTCATTGGAGTTAACGCACATTTGTAAGATACTTTCACTTAACCAGATTGCTTGCGTTTCTGCTTATACAGGAAAACTTGTTACGTTTGTTGCAACAGGCAATACAACCTGTTTGATTCACTCCGCAAGCTTACGAGCTGTGTGTGCACGTGTCTGTGTCAGGAGTTATGTGTGTGCGCTTATTGCGAGCCTCCACTGAGTGCGTGCGCACAGCCGAGAACTGTGAAGGCTTTTATATATAACGCGCTCACCGGAAACATGTGCATTTCTCATGTGAGATTGTTAACTGTGCGGACGAACATCAAATATGGCAAATTAGAAAAAGATGGTCAGTTTAATTATGCTACTGTAAGTAATGTTTATTCAGGAATAATTCTCCAGTACCGTTAAAAGCCTGTGCACACTGAGACGTTTTATGCTCGCGTTTTACGTCGTCATTTAACACCTCGTGGCTAAATTAAGGGCGTTAATGTGATTGTGCACACCAACACGCAAAACGACAGGCGCAAAAGCGTCTTTTTCAAAAAACGCCTCATGCTCTTTTGTTTGGCGTCAAAACATTCTCCACCAATCAGATTGGCACTTTTGTTCACGTGCACGGATCTGCTGAAGTTACAGTAAACAGCACTTGGAGATTCTGAAGTGCGCATCCCATGCATGCAGCGCTATCCCATAATGCCCTGCAAGAGAATTCATGAATGGAAGCGAAAGGACGCAACTGACGCAGGTAGATCACGTGACCATGACAAAATGGCGGATGTAGTACGTCCGAATTCCGTTCATACTTTTCACATTCATACTGTATAGAACGACTTTTGTAACTGCGGAGTAGTACATTTAAATTCAAATACAGTACCTACTGAGTAGTAGGCGGTTTCGGACGCAGTCCTTGTCTGCATCTTTTGTGTTACAAGCGGGTGTCAGAAGCTTAATGTTGTGTAGCGCCATCTAATGTCAAGGAGTGATTTTGCATACTCTTCTGCTCGACGCCAGTGAAAACCGCTTGGGGTTGAATCCAGAAAAATCTCTTGAAAAACGCTGACGATAAACGCAAACAAATGTCCCGGTGTGTACGAGCCTTTAACGTCAGAGCTTATCGATACGTTGGTCTTTTATAATGTAACACCAATACTGATAAGGTACAGAGTTTCGATACTTGTCCCTACCTATGGGTACTGTTATGATGCCTGTGTGAATTATATAAGTACAGTCTTTGTTGACATCTGTTAAATTCACCAAAACATCAATAAAAAAATTTTGTATTTCAGCAAATAAAGGGAACGTTATATTGATCTTATAATAGCTAACAATCCAATTCTACCAAGACTTTTGGATGCTTTTTAAATTTGTTTGTAATGTAACTACTACATAATACATTACAAACACAGCAGTTTTTGCTTTATATACAGTTGAAGTCAGAATTATTAGCCCCGCTGAATTATTCACCACCAGTTTATCTTTTCCCCCAATTTCTGTTTAACGGAGAGAAGCTTTTTTCAACATTTCTAAACAAAATAGTTTTAATAACTCATTTCTAATAACTCGTTTTTTTTGTGGTTGCCATGATGACAGTAAATAATATTTGACTAGATATTTTTCAAGACACTTCTATACAGCTTAAAGTGACATTTAAAGGCTTAACTAGGTTAATTAGGTTAACTAGGCAAGTTAGGGTAATTAGGCAAGTTATTGTATAATGAATGGTTTGTTCTGTAGATTATCGAGAAAAAAATTGCCCAAAGGGGCTAATAATTTTGACCTTAAAATAGTTTTTAAAAAATTAAGAGCTGCTTTTATTCTGGGCGCAATAAAACAAATAAGACTTTCTCCAGAAGAAAAAATATTATCAGACATACTGTGAAAATTTCCTTGCCTTGTTTAACATCATTTGAGAAATATTTAAAAAAAGAGAAAAAAATTCAAAGGGGGGCTAATACCTCTGATATCAACTGTATATGCATGTACAAATATCTGCATGGTCATAAACAAGGTCTCAAACATGCATGCCCACATGCAATCATAAAATCATTTCTAAAATATTGTTTTTAAAGTGCTTTTCTCCCTTTTATTACTTTTCATTTATTACTTTTTCTTCAATTATACTGTTATTATTTGACAATAATAAGTCAGAAGAGGACCATAATCACAGTAAACATGCTAAAAGTGAATTATGACTTACCGTCGTAGTCTCGGCAGCGGTGTTTTAGTGTGTTGCTCTTGTTGAACGTCTTGCCGTCTGAATGGTTGGTGAAGTATGCGGACCAGCTCTCTGTAGTGCTGTCAGGCAGGTGAACTGGTGCTACCACGGTTGCAGCTTTAGGGACGGCGGGGCTCCCCGAAGAGGGAAACTGGTGCTGAGGAAGGGGCAGAGGGAGCAAGGGGGGTGGATGGGTCTGCTGGTGGTGTGGGTTACTCATATGGGCTGAAGATGGGTTGTAAGGCTCTGCTTCCTTTCGCTCCTGCTCAAATTTGGATCTGTGCTCTGCTATAAAAATAAATCAATCAAGATTTAGTTGTTTGTAGAAAGAAATCCTGTCAAAAATGTTTGGTTGCAAAACAAAAGATGATGACTCTTAAAATGTGCTGTGAAACATTTTCATCTTGAATTCATTTTACAGCTCTGGTGTCTTAGCATTATTTTAAATAGCTTTATGTAAAATTTCCATACTTCAAAAATAATGAAAACATTAGACTAAGCATTAAATTCTAAATCAGAGGATTAAAGGAAAAGCTCAACCAAAAATAAAAAAGTACTCACTATTTACGATCAAGTGACTCCAAGCCTGTATTAGGTTTCTTTCTTCAGTTGAACACAAAATATAATTTCAAAACAGCTGGAAACCGGTAACCATTGACTACCATTGTAATTGTTTTTCTAAGGATGTCAATGGTTACAGGTTTTTAGCTTTCTCCAGTATATCTTGTCTTGTGTTCAGCAGAAGAAAAAAAAAACTCATTAAAGCTTGAAACCTTGAGGATAGGCTTGAGCCTATAAGATTCTGATGGTATGATAACCTTGGGGAGTCAAAGTATTCTAAAATATCTTATTTTTAAATATCTAGGTTAAATAATTAAATACAAATATATATATATACACACACACACACACACACATACATATATATATATATATAGATATATACACACACACACACACACACACACACACACACACACACACACACACACACACATATATATATATATATATATATATATATATATATATATATATATATATATATATATATATATATATATATATATATATATATATATATACATACACACACACACACACATATATACATATATATATATATATATATATATATATATATATATATATAGACATATATATATATATTTTTTTTTTTTACTAATTTTAATTAATTTGTTATGAATTTATTAATTATTCATAAATAATTAATTATTCATAAATAATTTATGATGCGATTGTCTGTCGCGAAGTCTCGAACTAGACATTGTACGATGCCAAATTGGTCGACATCACCCAACCCTACTGAACAACACTTCTGTGCATATAACCCATTTGTAACACAACACAATCTACCTAAGCTTTAAGTGACTAAAATGGTTAAAGCACAATATTACCTGCCTAAAAGAAACACTCTAGCCATGGTGTTGTCCTTCCTCTAGTGTGCAAAACTAACTCCAATATTGATTCAGGATTTTAAAAATTTGGTTCAGCATTTGTTTTGCTTTCTCTTCCCGCGCCCAAGGCGGATCTGCATGAATGGCTGCAGATGTTCAAATCTACATTTGCTTTATATATTATAGGTGGGCATAGATAAAAATTTTAAATATAGATTAATCTCACTGTAATCCTGAAATTGATCTAGATTAAAATGGCTCATTTGAATTCTGCCGAAGGCATTCAGAATATTTGCGCTACCCAAATAATGATTAAAAGTAAGTCTTTGAGAACGGGTTTCTCAAGCCAGGTGGCGCATTAGACCAGGGGCTCATCTCCTGTTTCCAAAATGCATCACAAACTGCTTGAGAAACTGTTCTACTGGGATAATTGGTGATGAAAATAAATGATGTTCAATAAGATGTACTTGTGTTTACTATCTGTTTATTCAGTTAAACATGAATGTTGAACTGTAGACCTACATAAGCTCCAAACAGCGATGTTTCATTACCTTAATCCAGCTTAAGTCATAAATGAACTAAACCGAAATGGAATTAAGACGTGGAGTATGCAGATATTAGTGGCATTATTGAAGTAAACACCGCTTTCAAACTATGACCGTTATGTAGGACATTTCGCCAAATTTTCACACAAGATACACAGTCAATAAAGGACAGCACGCACACACACACACCGCAAAATGCGGAAGTTTTTTCTTTCCATTTAGTGTGCGTTATTAAATTCCATAACACTTTCACCAGCCCTTACTCCTTATTTGTGTCTAATACACCAGTTTGTCACAGGGGCATGAATGAAATGTTTACGAGTTAAAGAACATTTCACCCAATTCCAAGAGCCCTTTGTTTCACACTCAGGCATAGGTAAAAGTAATCGGAGAGAAGTTACTTGGGAATGTTAGTACCTCTCCTCTGATTGTGCTCTCTTTCTCGGCTCTTTCCACGGCTACCACTGCGGCTACGACTCCTGCTGCGACTGTAGCTTCTCCCCCGTGAGCTTCCTCCTCGCCGCTCATGTCGGTCTCGGTATGATTCTCCACTTTTCAAGTGGCGGTCCACTTCTCTACGCTTACGGTCATCTCTCCTGCGGTCGTCTCTAGCCCTGTGATGAAAATATTAAACTTTTTACTTTAGAAGAACAACATTTGCCTCTAAAGCATTTTAACCCTTCGGTTGTCATGGAATTCTGCATACACTATTCGGCCTTCAGGTCAAAAATGACTTAATATTTAATTTCAACCCTCAAACCTATTTTGCATGAAGAAACTATCTCATCTTCATCATACTCTGAATATCTAGTACCTTAAACATGTAGAACCTTCATGAAAATTAAAAATGTTACATCAACTTCGGGACCAGGAAAAGAAAAAATTGTTTAATTGTTTTTTGTTTTTTTCCCTGCTGTTAAAATGCTGCACGCTGGTCATTTTTGACCACTAGATCAACAGGAGGTTTGAGTGTTATGAACAGTAGTTTACTTCAGTAGTATCAGTGCATGCATTTCTGAAAAATTCTATAATGATATTAAAGGCTGGCATAATAGCTGCTGAAAACAAGGGAATAAAAATGTATAATATTACTTAATATTTAATTTAATTTATTGTTTATCAAAATATACATGAAAATATTGTCCATACACATATACCAGGGGTTCTCAAACTTTTCAGCCCGGGACCCCCAAAATAACAATGCTAATGACTCGCGACCCCCACTATTTTCGTAAATGGTAATAATCATACAAACGTTGCACACAACACTCACACAAACCAATCAGCCTATATAAACACAAGCATATTGACAACACAAAAAAGTGCAACAGTCCCATATCATTTTTATTATTATTATTTTATATTAACCTCATCTAATTAGACTGGTGGGCACAATATTTAAGTTACATCCCAAGTCTTTTCTTGGTTTAATTTTGGAGACTGCCACTTACACATCATACTCCATGTTTAGTTTCCTGTATGTATTTTAAATGTACGTGAGTGCTTTAACGGTGTCAGAAAGTTTAGCTAGTGCTGTAAAATCTGGTGCACTGACGCTGTTGCTTTGTCATTAATCTAATGTTGCAACCAATGTAAAAAACAACAACAAAAAAAACAAAGGCTGATGGCTTTTTGTTTGGATAATGTATTTTTTGTGTAACTTTTTTTTAATCTTCTGTAGGTTATGGATTAACAATGGTAATCATAAAAGTTTATTCAAATTTATTAGATTTTTGTAAATCACCAAGCGACCCCCTCTCATTGTCACGCGACCCCCCAGGGGGTCCCGACCCCCACTTTGAGAACCACTGACATATACAAAGCCTCTGTAAGCAATTAAAAAAAACTTGTTTTAAATGAACTGCACACTTTGAAATAGGGCTCGACATCTCAAGTCATCTCGTATCCTAATAACGGATGTAATAACGACTTTCCACATTTTTATCCTACGGCCTCAGGCCTCAACAATAAGGACTGCATGATGGCCCGGGGCCAGCGTGTGAGACGCTCGGGCCAGTGTACAGAATGGTTACTGGCCGAAATGGGCCATTGCTGCCTTGTCACAAAAGTTTGGCTGTGACCGTCTGTCAGTTGCGTGCAAATACAATCTTAGAGTGCTTTCACACATAAGACGTTCGTTTCAGAATCTGTCTCGTTTTCCTGTGGTTAGCATGGTTTGTTTGGCATATGTGAGTCCAGCAATCGCGCTCGGATCCGCGCCAATTCAATCGGTCCGAGATCAACTGACTGAAATGGTCTCTGCTTGATTGAGCTGATCGATTGTAGTGAGAAAGCAAAACGGTCCAACGAACTAACGACCCAGGCTATATGACAGTGTATTACGATTGTGTAATAGCCATATATACGGCTATATGAAGAGAGAATGATAAGCAGGACAAGATGTCATTCCTACGGGCAAATGTGCACGTTAAAAGTCTAACTTTAACATTCAATGAACTTGATGAACTGAATAATTTTTCTTTAAAAACCCCGAAAAAAATGTATAAAACTGACCCCAAACTCAATTATGTTTGGCTTTTGAAACATTATTTAAAATATTGTATGTGGCTGAGAAATAGCTATTAACATCTTTTGTTTGGTGAGTCCATTGAAAATTTTGGCAGGGCAAGTAAAAATCTGAACCACTGACCCAATCGGGCCAGTAGAAAAAATCCTTAGCGTTGAACCCTGGGCCTTATTCCAAAATGGATTCAATTAATTTATTTACCCAAAATTCTACACACAATGGCTCATAATGACAATGTGAAAAAAGATTTTTTGAAATTGTTGCAAATTTATTACAAATAAAAAACCTGAAAAATCACATGTACATCAGTATTCACAGCCTTTGCTCAATACTTTGTTGATGCACCTCTGGCAGCAATTACAGCCTCAATCTTTTTGATTATAATGTCACAAGCTTGGCACACCTGTCTTTGGGAGTATTTGCCCATTCCTCTTTGCAGTACCTCTCAAGCTCTTTCAGGCTGGATGGGAGACGATGGTGTACAGCCGTTTTCAGATCTCTCCAGAGATGTTCAATAGGATTTAGGCCTGGGCTCTGGCTGGGCCACTCAAGGACATTCACCGAGTTGTTGTGAAGCCGCTCCATTGATATTTTGGTGGTGTGCTTTGGGTCATTATCCTGCTGGAAGATGAACTGTAATGAGCCGTGCCTGGTTTTCTCCAAAGTAACGCCTGCCATTCACTCCAAAGAGTTCAATTTTAGTCTCATCAGACCAGAGAATTTTGTTTCTTATGGTCTGAGAGTCGTTCAGATGCCTTTCGTCAAATTGCAGGCCTGATTGGTGGATTGCAGCACAGATAGTTGTCCTTCTGTAAGGTTCTCTTCTCTCTACAGAAGAACGCTGGAGCTCAGACAGAGTGACCATTGGGTTATTGATCACCTCTCTGACTAAGGCCCTTCTCCCCTGATCACTGTTCTTCGATGGCCGGCCAGCTCTAGGAAGAGTCCTGGTGGTTTCAAACATCTTCCACTTACGGATGATGGAGGCCACTGTGCTCATTGGAACTTTCAAAGCAGCAGAAATATTTATGTAACCTTCCCCAGCCTTGTGCCAGGAGACAATCCTGTCTCGGAGGTCTACAGACAATTCCTTTGTCTTCATGCTTGGTTTCTGTATTGACATGCACTGTTAACCCTGGGACCCTATATAGACAGGTGTATGCCTTTTCAAATCATGTCAAATCAACTGAATTTACTACTGGTGAACTCCAATGAAGCTGCTGAAACATCTCAAGAATGATCAGTGGAAACAGAATGTTTCAGGATGCACTGTATATCGACCACATGGAAAGGACTATTTCTTTTTTTACATTTTAACCCTCTGGGATCAAAGGCCGCATATACGCGTTTTGACTTGTGGTGTCGTCAAACTGCTGAAATGAACTTAAATTACACTTTCAGTTTTGATCGTACAGATAAGATCAATACATCAATCGAATCTGTTATGTGTCTACTTTTTTGTTGTGTACACTCACAACAACAACAAACATGTGTGCTTTTGCAAAATAAGAAAAACAAACAGTGTAGGCATTCTGTCTTTTCTCTCTCCGCGAACTGCTTTTAGAAACGCGTCAGTAAAATGCACTGAAACTCCGCGAATACAAAACGCACACAAATGAGACATGTATTTCTAGAAAGCTTAAAGAGTCTACTTTTAAACGCAGCTATGCATGTTGAAAACAAACATTGCTTGATAAAGTAATCAGTATGAAATCAACGCTATGTCCAGTTTCTCAGTCTGATCTCATTAGTTTTAATGTGACCACGCCCACAAGGCATTGTTATTACAAGCATCTGAAGACGCGAGCAGACTGTGGTCAGAAAAACACGTCACTAAAATGAAAGGAAACTCTGCAACAAAGATGATGATTTATGATATCTATATAAAGCTTGATATGTCTACTTTTGCATTAACCAATTCAAGTCGAAAACAAATGATCTCTTTTTATGTTATCCATATAAAAGTAAGGACTATGCACAAGTACATAGTGCATGAGTGCGCCATTTGGGACGCAGCTTGTCTTCATTCCTCTAAAGGCATGTAATGTTACACTCATATAAATCATTAAAAAATACTGTAGTAAACAATATTATGTGACATAACATGAAACATGTCTTCATAAAATAAAACGATAAGACTTTCTATATTGTCCAAAAGATAAAATGTCTTGTGGACAATATAGTCAACTAAAAATGTCTACTTAAAGGGTCACATTTTCTGAGCTGTTGACAGTCGTATATGTGTCCCACACTGCTAAAAACACTATTAGGACACCTATATTTCACTAAAAAGTGTAAATTGGTTGTTTTTGCGTTATTTCAAGCAAATTCGTACTTCCGGTTTGAAAAGAATTTTTGAAGCTGCGTCACGGCCATGACATAATAGCGTGTATTCCAGCGTGCAGACTGGACGTCTGTGCCAGAGTGAGTCTTATTACGTCTTACAGTGTGATGCATTAATGCATGAGTAAGGCTTGGTTCAAACCAATCAGCGCGCTCTATTGTGCAACTTCATTAATATTCATTACTGTGTTTACACGACATAGACGCCACGTTGTGTTGGCAAAACAAGCGTGAAGTGTTGCTTTTATAGTTTGCTGCCGTTAAGTTTCGTTTTCTTTTTCTCTCTGTGAGAGCTCAGCTTGAGTCACGCGTGGATTAACAGTGTACGCGACGCTCGACAACAATAACTTACGTGTCTAAGGAGGATTATTGTTTACCTGAAAGCTGTTCTCATCTGCAAACGTTGAGATCCGGATTAGCTTGTAGTATTCTCTTCATAAAGACGCGGCTCTAGTTGCTGGTGATTGTCCTGTCTCTACAGATTTGGTAAGTGAGCGACCAGTGCTCTTTGTTTATTCAGTTTGTTCGTATCGAACTAAGTTAACTATTGCACCGTAACATGTTAGGACCACAACCAAACTTTAACCTCGTGTAGGGTTTTTAACCGCATTTCGTGACCGGAATAACACACGCGGCTTTCTGACACTACCTGCCGTGTGCATCTAAGTTTCCGGGAAATGCTGAGGGTTTTTTTTCTCTCATTCACCGTGCGGTATCAAACATTGCATGAAAAATACACGCTTAGAGCAGATCCTCGAATCAAATATCTCATTTGTCACGAGGGGCATGAATGAATTCCCAGAATAAAAGAGCCAAACTGCAGTTAAAGTCCACCATTTAATAATTTGGCAAATAATTCGACCACAGATGTCCATGTAGGTTAAACACCATCACTTTCTACTGTGTCAGTATTTTGACGGAAACTCGCCCGTGCCCAAATAGACACTCCCACACCCTTACACTTTAGTTCCTCAGACACTCCCCCCTAAACAGAGCTGGACACGCCAACTTTTCTGACTTTTTCCAAAGTAGAGGTGTGAAAACACCCTGCTGAAACGAGGGGGTTTCATGGCCCTTTAAACACTACCAGAAAGATGCAGCTCTCAGAGACTAACCTTGATTCGTTGAAGTCTGAACGATTCCTCAATGGGCTTCTTCTTCTCCTGTTCTCCCGATCATCTTCAACATGAGCAGTCTGAACACAAACGTCTCAGTATTATTATTGACACTACCGATATATTTGCACAAGAAAGTTCTTTCCGTTTTGCTGAGTGTAAAAATCTGTATTTATCTTTGCAAACAGAACAGCCAAAACTAAATTAACCTCAAGTAGTTTACAACTCACTGATCCATGTACAAAAGGTGTTTGCATTTATGTTTTGTTATGGTTTTAATAGTCATCTTCCTTTATAGAAAGTAATCCTGCTGTTAGAGCATGGATGCTTTAGACATAAACATGTGTATTTGACAGTTGAACCCAATAGGGTATATGTCGAGCTAGTGCTGTTCCCATGCTGATACACTTCCGGTGACCTGTTATTGTGAACTTTTTTTCCATTTTATACGGTTCCTTATACAGCATCGATGTTGTAATGTCATTAAAATACATTCAGTTAAATAAACTTAAGCATTTATTTGGTTGCTCAAGCGTAAAACGAGACAAAAAGCTGTTTACTCGTACGCGCCCGTCAGAATCCGCAGGCTAATGCAGAAGCTCCTTTGAATATACTGGGGTAAAATAAATGCTCATATTATAAAGATATGGCGGGGGAAATGTAATTTAATGCACTGCTTCTTGTACAATCTGAGACCCACTTTACTCAGCCAGTGGAGATCGCTGATTTTTAAAGAAAACAGACCTTAAACGCGCCGGATTTTACATTGGCATTCAATTCGCCGGAAGTGCTTAACCCAGGTTACTGGCAAATTAAAAGTCCTACTAGCATGCCTCGGCATATACCCCATAAAGGTTCAAAATAACCCAACAAAGCACCAAATATTTTTAACTCAAATATTGGGTTAAATAAATAACCCAATGTTTTTTAGAATGTACTTTTCTTTTACATTGTTATTATTTATAGTTCTTACAAAAACAAATTAACTGATCTGACTTTACCTCTTCTTTCTCCTCAAGCTTCTGTACTGGAATTTTGACCTCTTCTTTAACAGCTGGAGGTCCCAAATAATTTTTGGTGGTTAGACATTCAAAGAGTTTATCCACAAACCCTGTAGTTTCTGTGAAATTAATAGAAAAGAGAAGAAATTCAGTTTAATCAAAGTGAAGTCTTGAATTAAAAATTACATCCAAACACACACAAGCACAGATTTATTTTCACATATACAGTTGAGGTCAGATTTATTATTATTTTTTCTTTTTTTAAATATTTCCCAAATGATGTTTAATAGAGCAAGGAATTTTTTTCTTCTGGAGAAAGTCTTATTTCTTTTATTTCAGCTAGAATAAATATAGTTTTTAATTTTAAGAAACAAACACTTTAGGGTCCAATTTATTAGCCCCTTTAAGCTATATTTGGTATCGATGGTCAACAGAACAAACCATTGTTATTCAATAACTTGCCTGATTATCCTAACCTGCCTAATTAACCTAGTTAAGTCTTTAAATATCACTTTAAGCTGTATAAAAGTGTCTTGAAAAATATCTAGTCAATTATTATTTACTGTCATGATAACCAAAGATAAAAGTGATTAGAAATCAGTTATTAAAACTATTATGTTTAGAAATGTGTTGAACAAAAAATCGGCTCTCCATTGAACAAAAATTGGGGAAAAAAATAAACAGGGGTCTAATAATTCTGACTTCAACTGTATATTTATTTTAGCTTCTCAACAGCTTCTACATTTAGAATAATCAGATACGAGTACACATTTTGTTGATACCTTTCTGAAGGAAAACATCCAACTGATCTGCACACAATGCTCTCAGTTCTTTCTCGGGTTTATCCTTCTTTACTAACGCCACAACGTAATTCGCCAATGCAGATGGGTCAGCATCACATCTGTAAAAGAGAGGCAAATCCATTAAAAGGTTAAGTTCATGCAAAAGAAGTCAAATCCAAGAGTCATGCAGGTCTTCTAATACAATGATTGACAGCCTAAAGTTTTGTTGACTGGAAAGAGATCTGGTTGAACACACTGAGATCAAATCCATGACAACTTGGGGATCAATTCAAAAATAACCCCTGTCTGCATGCAGATCACATGTGCCAAGACTCTAAAACTAAACTAACTTGATCCTGATCCTATTTTGGCCCAGTCTATGAAAACTAACGTTAGTGGGCTGTTTTGATGAGCACCTCACTCATCCTGAAGACCCTATTAGCATAGCCTCCTGCTACACAAATCCTAATTAGGAGGTGTGTTACGATTTCAAAACGCATACGGGATTTAAACACAGCTGAACTGTCATTTAAAGTCCCAAATCAAAGGCAACGACATCTGTTCGCAGCGCAGATAAGTGGTTTGAAACACAGATAACGTGTTAGCATGTTAGCAGCGCCAGTTAGCACAACTGCTTAGAATGTCACTGTTCAGCACTTACATGGGTTCAAGAAGTTTAGCCAGCCAGGATTTCAGAGCGTCAACATTATCTATAATCATCCTGACGCGCAAGTGATTAATACTGATAAAAATGTGGGTGTTTATGCGCGACTCCTACTAGCATCGTTTAAAAACACACACGGGGCCTTCTGAAGTCACTGGTAAGTCGGACGAGCTGCTGAGGTTGATAGCAACGTCACGGGGAAACGTCACAATGCACTGGCCACGGTCTACCACAGGGCTGCTACTTCACCCTCAGCATAACATGATCACTCATTTTTCATGACTGGCAAACAAATAAACACTTTTGGATTACTAGTAGTAAAACTGTTTACTAATGGGAAATAATAAAAGCTGTTTAACATTCCACAGATTTACAAAATACTTGTTTGAATACTTATTTTAATTCTTAATACCTGTTACAAAATAAATATTTAGCATTGGTTACATATATTTTAATGTATCCATTTTTTAGTTATATTATAATTATGTTATATTTTAGTGACATATTTCTTCATTTCTTCATCAAATATGTAAGTATTATTTTAGAATTAGCCATGAAAGTTTTGCATTCAATTATTCCTTTTCTTATCAATTTTGATGCTATATATATATATATATATATATATATATATATATATATATATATATATATATATATATATATATATATATATATATATATATATATATATAAAGTTGAAACCAGAAGTTTACACTGTATAAAAAAAGCACACAACCATTTAAAAAAAGACAGATGTCAATGTGACTAAACTTTTTTCTCTTTTAGGTAAGTTAGGATTATCAAATTTATACCACTTTATACCACCATTGTCTGTTATGCTTAATAGCAGAATAACGAGAGAGATTTTTTTTTTTTTTTTGAGAAATTGTTATAACTTTTCTTGGAAGTCAAGTTTACATACAATAAGATTATTATGTCTCTGAAAAAGCTCAGATGATGGTGTCAAGGTTTTGGAAGTTTCTGATTGACTAATTGACAACATTTGAGTTAATCGGAGGCACAACTGTAGAATAGTATTTAAGGAAAACCTCAAACACACTGCTTCCTTGTGTGACAACATGGGAAAATCAACAAGCCAGGATCAACAAAAAAGACAGATGACAATTAGCTAAATTACACTGGGGAAAAGACTAATTTTTGAAGACATGTCCTGTGGTCTGATGGAGCTAAGATTGAACTGTTTGGCCATAATGACCAGTGGTACATTTGGAGGACAAAGGGGAAAGCTTACAAACCTAGGAACACCATCCTAACTGTAAAGTATGGGGTGGCAGCATCATGTTGTGTTGCAGGAGGGACTGGTCCACTTCATTGTATAGATGGCATCATGAAGAAAGAACATTATGTAGAAATACTGAAGCAACATCTCAAGACATCAGCCAGGAAAATAAAACTTGACCACAAATGGGTCTTCCAGACAGACCATGACCCTGAGCATACTGCCAAATTAGTTAAAATGTGCTTTAAGGACAACACAAAACAGAGGTTGAATTACAGAATGTTACCAGACATTTAAATGTAAAGAAATTTCTGTAATTTAACAGCCGTCGTTTGGGTTTTAGGTTTTTTTAGGCACCCCAGCTGCTGAAAAAAAACCCAGTTAAATTACAGATTTTTTTACAGTGTAGTCAGTAATTTGTTATTTATTACTTTTGTAAAGTATCCTGTGCTGTTCATGAGTCAGTGTACTCTCAGTGCTGGGTTGTGTCTGAAAGGGGACCTGTTAAATAGAAAAATGCCAGATTAATTGGTGGTTCCTTCTGCCCTGGTGACCCCTGATAGATTAGGGACTAAGCCGAAGGAGAGTGAGTGTTTAAACTATTTATGTAAATATTTCACATGAATTTCTTTAGTTGTAACGTATGAAAAAACATACATACATACATACATTCATTCCATTTTTTTTCCCTTTATTATTCTGGGGTCACCACAGCGGAATGAACCACCAATTTATCCAGCATATGTTTTAGGCAGTGGATGCACTTTCATCTGCAACCCATCTCTGGAAAACATCCACACACACTACGGACAATTTAGCCTACTCAATTCACTTGTACGGGATGTCTTTGGACTGTGGGAGAAGCCGGAGCACCCGGAGGAAACCCACGCAAACATTAGGAGAAAATGCAAACTCCACACAGAAACGCCAACTGACCTAGCTGAGGCTCGAACCAGCAACCTACTTGCTGGGAGGTGATTATGCTACCCACTGCGCCACCATGACGCCCCTCATCCAGATACAGTTCCAAAATATTTCAAATAGTATACAATCGGTCCTACACCAACCAATTACACTTAACCTTAACCCTTAAAGGAAACTTGAATTAAAAAAATAATAATAATAATAAATTATTAATCTGGGGTCGCCACAGGAGAATAACAGCCAGCTTATCCAGGATATGTTTTACGCAGCGGATGACCTTCCAGCCGCAACTCAACACTGGGAAACCCCCATACACACTTTTTCACTCACACACAGACACTACTGCCAATTTAGCTTATTCAATTCACCTATACCACCAGAACCAACGTGAACACATGGAAAACATGCAAACTCCACACAGAAATGCTAACTGAACCAGGGCTCGAACTAATTATTATTATTATTATTATTATTATTATTATTATTATTATTATTATTATTATTATTATTCAAAATGATGTTTGGTCATGATATCAATAATTGTGCTACAGACATATTATCTTAAATCATGCAACATTCCGATGACTATGGTTCTGCGTGTTATAAACAATTACAAATTCAATGTTCAAATTTATTATTATTATTATTATTATTATTATTATATTCCATGTGTGAAGTGGACAGGCATTCTAAAACTACATTACCCATAATGCAAAGCGTTTTCCGGCGCCGACGTTTCTTTACGGTGTCATCATCCAGCGTGGGTTTCACTCTTCAAGAAAAAAAAATCCTGTTGAAATTACTGGGAATAGATCAGGATGACGGTAAAGTTGATTTATATCACCCCCTTTGCAATTATTACATGTAGAGTAAAGTTTGTTTCACAATCTTACATTTTAAAAACATTAAAGCGGTCCATTGAGCAGCATGGCTACCTTTAGCAGCTAGCTTCATACATGTGCCTCTGTTACTCTTATTCATTTAAGGTTTTTCAATCCTGAACATAAAATGGAAATAAATGTCAGTAGTGTACGGGCATCAGAGAAGAACGGTATCATAATCTTAAACGTTGAAGGATTTGTTGAAGGTTTCGGCACAATAATGCGAATATAGAGTTGACAGCTGTCAATCAAAGGTGCTGAAACTGCTGATGTGATGCGCGTCACCGTACAATTTCATTAAAGTACTGATGTATAACTTAGCTATTTAGCTTTTTATATGTATAACTAATAAACTAATAATTTAACTAATAAATCTAAATAGCTTTCTATCTATCTATCTATCTATCTATCTATCTATCTGTCTATCTATCTATCTATCTGTAATGTTGCATTATTTTTTTTCAGCATAATGCATGCATATTACCCTAGTACTGTATGGCCATTCTTATCTTATGCAGGGGACTCCCATTATAATACAAGAGCGATAAAGACATATTTTATACAGTGTAAAATGAATATTTGAATAGTTTTTTTTATTACCCAGAAAATATTTTGTTTCTGTTCATTTAATTTAACTTAATTCGTTTGTTTGTTTTTTCAGTTAGTTATTTGGAAAGTAATGGAACTCCCATACTAGCATGTCAAATGCAGCAATATTATAAATGGTCTCAAATATTATTTACAGAATATTCAGTTTCTGTCAATATTATCAAGCTTTTTATTAAAATTCAATATTTTGATTTTTATCTATTTTTATTTTATACTTAATATTTTATTTTTATATCAATATAATTTTTTTATGTAATTTATATTCATTTCACACACATTGTTGTTTAATATTATTTAAGCCAAGCTAATGTTTTTCCCATATTGATAAGCTTCCAGTGACCTGTTATTGTGAATGATTTTTTCCAATTTGTACGGTTCCTTTTACAGCATCAAAGTTGAAATGTAATAAAAATACATTCAGTTAAATAAACTTTGGCGTTCATTTAGTTGCTCAAGCGTAAAACGAGACAAAAAAACCGTTTACTCACACGTGCCCGTCAGAATCGGCAGGCTATCGCAGAAGCTCCATTGAATATACTGGGGTAAAATAAATGCTCATATTACAAAGACATAGCAGGGAAAATGTAATTTAATGCAGTGCTTCTTGTACAATCTGAGACCCACTTTATATCGGATATCACTCAGCCAGTGGAGATCGCTGATTTTTTAAGAAAACTGACCTTAAATGCGCCAATTTTTGCATTGGCATACAGTTGACCGGAAGAGCTTAACCCAGGTTACCGGCAAATTCAAAGTCCTATTAGCATGCTTGGGCATATACCCTATAAAACCATAGACTGTAAAATATATGGACGTAGTGTCCGTGACGTCACCCATAGGTTTCTAAAGAGCGCAAAAGAAGCCACAAGTAGACGCGGCCAACCGTCGCCATTTTGTTTGCGCTTCATCACACCCACGGCGGGATACCAAACAAGAGCATAGAGGCGGAGAGTGAGCGGAGCTACAGACACCTGCTGGCATTTTGCTAGGACCTGGTTCAGACACACTTTAACTTTGGGAAAACGCTTAATACTTTATCACCTGCGACTCATTTGTGTTCTGACCACTTGTGCTTGGTTGTATACTATATCAATAAAGTGTTTAGACTTTTAAAAACACTGCTGTAATACATTGAGCCACTAAACATTGTTCTTATGACGTTTTTCAACAGGAGGAAAACGCGAATTACATCCAAACACTTCAGATATATTGATGAAATCCAGCATAACACTGTATGACAATGCTTCAGATGACTGTTCTAGAGCCTAGAGCTAATCAATTCGTCAGATTCTGGAGTGCATTACAGCTCTAAATATAAATATAAACGATAAATGATCTTAAACAAAACAAATACATGTATAGAGATGGTATATAAGTACATAACTTTACTCACATGGGAAACGGAGGCCACGTGAATGGTTTGTGAGCACAATTAAGTGCACTCAGCATGCCATGCCATCTAATAATTGTAGGAAACAAGTCCAAAAGGCAGTTGACTGTGTAATGCCACATAAAACAACACAGAAATACGATAAATATGCCGAGTTCAGTGGCTAATCTGCAGGATTCAGCTGAGGTGACGTGACGGCGACCAACGAGACCTAGCTGTCACTCAAGTGGCCACTCCCTTAATTATGCAAACCTAATATAACTTAATATAAAGGAAACGGATGAGTTATAAAAAAATTCACCCCCCTCACAGTTGTCATGAAGGATAATATTGGCTGTATTAACCAAAATCTTTTTTGTACCAGGCTGTAAACACCTTTTTTCTGCTGTAAAGTTGGCCATTCTAACAGTGGACTCAATTGAAATTTGCTCTATTTTGGAGCCAGGAGCGGCCACGACTAGCCGAATTTCGGATGAATTGCAGTTTTAGTTACTTCCGTATTGGCTTCCTGAGGGAGAGCGGGAGGTTGCCGCTTGTATAAAACGAACGCACAGAACAGACTCGCATTTAATAGCAAAGGGCGGCCCCTGGTGGTTCGGCGGTATGGGTTGCACATTAGGATGATCGGCTCTTTAATGTTTATTGCCACCCTTCAGAGAAAGGCTGAAAATACAGCAGAAATCTGGGAATATACCTTTAAGGGATGATAGCGAAATAGCATTGTAAAATATGGGAGAATCTTAGGAAAAACGGGAGGGCTAACAGGTATGCCAAAAGCAACCAACCAACAGTATCTGAGGTTTTCACTAAAAGTACAAGCGTGAAAGGGAAAGATTGAAGCAGTGTACTGATGCTGTGACTCTTTACCTGATCGATTCAAACGAGTGAAGAGTCATTAGATAGAGACAAGATTAATTAAACATCACCTTTAACAACTATAGTGAGATGCGATCCAGCTGTATAGCCTTGCTAAACTGTCCGACATTATAGATCTAGATATAAGCTATGGGTTATTGTTATGGGCTATCTTATTATTAATGGTGCGTTTGTTATTTTATACATATGCACTTATTATAGCTGATCTTAATATTTTCATTCAATCTCATGTGCTGTTGCAGGAACGCAAAGGAACAGCAAAACTTGACTTCTTGAAGAAGATTGAGGAGGAGGTTCAGCAGAAATGGGAACAGGACAAGCTTTTTGAGAATGAAGCCCCAGCCACCATTGGGGAAAATACGAAGTTAGCATGTTGTTCTGTATACTACAGTATTTCCTGGGTTTATATTGAATGTGTTCATGTCTAATAATGTTGTATTGTCTGTCTAGTAAGAACAAGTACTTTATTACATTTCCCTACCCATATATGAATGGGAGACTTCACCTCGGCCATACATTCTGCCTTTCCAAGTGTGAGGTGAGTTTGAAATTCATTGAACAAAGATGTCGGAGACCTCATATAGTATATCTTATACTGTTCTAATTCTCCAATGTCCTTTAGTTTGCAGTGGGTTACCAGCGGCTTAAAGGAAAGCAGTGTCTTTTCCCATTTGGGCTTCACTGCACTGGGATGCCTATCAAAGTGAGTAGTTTCAACTCTTTAACCCGTTGCCGTTCCGATGTACCGTTCCGATGTGATTATATGTATATGCAATTTGTGTTTATACATATAGACGTGAACATACTGTATAGTGAGTTTAAGTTATTTCATTTTCCTTCAATTACTATGTGTCAGCAAGTATTGACAGTGAATATGGATAAGGGATAGAATAGCTTTAAGTGTAACCTTTAATTATAGCCCAAAAATATGACTGTACAATAAAGCATTCAAAAATTACAGCCTTTTAAGTGTCAATGATCAAAAAGGGTAACTTGGAGTCCCAAGTGGCCTTTATTAGGAGCACCTATACATTCATTTGGATAAACATGTGTAAAACACTAATTTTATAAGGTATTGTTATCAAAATAAAAAAATTTGGATTGGTAAGTCTTCAAGCTTTGATCCAATTGTCTTTTCAAACTAAAACCTCTTAATTCTAGTCGTCTGCAGGCATTAATCAAGATAAACAATTGTAGGCGGATTTTTATTTTCTGATTTTTCAGTGTGTCTTAAGTTTAATTACTTAATATCTATAACATTTACAGTGATTTACTATTAAGGAATAAACCTCAGTGTCACCTTTCAAATAAGACCGAAACCATGCATATATTCCAAATGGTTCAAAAATTGCATGCAATTTACTTTGGGTATGCATTTTTTTGTCATTTAAGCAAATTTTACAGGAACGCTAAGGGGTTAAAGGGGTAGTCCACAATGTTTTTTTTAAGGTTTGATTGTGTTTATGGGGTGCAAAACAATGTGTGTTGAATCATTTGTAAAAAAAAAATCATGCTATTTGTTCACATATCTTACTTTCATTTTATACAGCTACTGAGCTAACATGGAAACGACCATCATATTTTTGGTTCTTCCTCTAATAGGGCTGCTATCATAATCACGATTATTTTGGTCATAATTGTAATCACGATTATTCAAAACGATTACTGTTGAAGTCAAAATTATTAGCGCTCCTGAGAATTAAAAAAAAAAAAAAAAACATATTTCCCAAATGATGTTTAACAGAGCAAGGAGTTTTAACAGTATTTCCTATAATAGTTTTTCTTCTGGAGAAAGTCTTATTAGTTTTATTTCGGCTAGAATAAAAGCAGGTTTAAATATTTTGAAACCCATTGTAAGGTCATTATTATTAGCCCCTTTAGGCAATATATATTTTTGATTGTCTGGGAGTTGCAGCTCAACTTCTTGTTCAAGCACTTGTTCTCTCCAGACTGAATTACTGCAACTCTCTACTAGCGGGGCTTCCAGCTAACTCTATCAAGCCTCTTCAGCTGCTCCAGAACGCAGCAGCACGAGTGGTCTTTAATGAACCTAAAAGAACGTCGCCTCGTGGTTCCATCCCAAGGAGGAAAGAAATCTTTTTCCTGAACTCTCGCTTTCAATCTGCCCAGTTGGTGGAATGAACTCCCTAACTGCATCAGAACGGCAGAGTCACTCGCTGTCTTCAAGAAACGACTAAAAACTCAACTACTTAGTCTCCACTTCACTTCCTAATCTGCAATTGCCTCTGTGGATATACCACTAACTGTACTCAAAAAAAAAAAATCCTTCTTAGACTTTACAGACCTGAAACTTGCCTACAGCACTTACTCATTGTTGCTCGTATAGTTGTGTAAATTGCTTCCTTGTCCTCATTTGTAAGTTGCTTTGGATAAAAGCGTCTGCTAAATGACTAAATGTAAATGTAAATGTTTGCAGAAGAAACTACTGTTATAGAATGACTTGCCTAATTAAGATTTGAAGCACACGTTGAATCTGAATGCTTGTATTTTGAAAAATATCTAGTAAAATATTATGTGCTGTCATCATAGCAAAGATAAAAGAAATCAGTTATTAGAAATGAGTTATTAAAATTATTATGTTTAGAAATGTGTTGAAAAAAATCTTCTTTCCATTAAACAGAAATTGGGGGAAAAGGGTTGCTAATAGTGCTGTCAATCGATTAAAAAAAATTACTAATTTATCGCACCTTTTTAAAAAAATTAATCACGATTAATCGCATTTAAAATACTGAAACTTGTAATTTTGGCTATTTAAATGTAAAATTAATGTAAACGCAAGACAAAAAATATTTTAATTCAAAATAAAATTGTTTATTAGAATTAAAATTCAAAATATAATTGTTTATTAGAATTTTTGTTTAACTTGTAACACAGATTTTTTCATGTAAACAACATACCCACAATAAACCATCAAGATCCTGGCTTGACAGCCATATTTATTACAGAAATTAAAACAAAGGCATGTTAATGACATTTAAATTTCAAAACAATCAATGCCAATAAAGAAAACATTGTGGACTGCAGAAACACAGTGGACTGCAAAAAAAATGCCAAAATACAGGTATTGCAGATACGGAAAATGAATGATAATTTCTTGCAAACCGGTCGTTAAATACATTGCACACCCCTCTCGCCCGTACTCAGATACGTCGGTCACTCCACCCCTGACATAGACACACACACAGACAGACACACACAACGCGCTGCAGACGTTTTGGCCCCAACGGCCTTCCATACTGGAGCGACTCCCCTCAGATTCAACACGCATGATCACGTTCATCAAATTTGCTTAAACTAAGCGTCCTAAAGTATTACTGTATTTCACAAGGATTCTGACACAACAATGCGAAGCATACGCTTTCGTTGCGTTTAATGAGGAAACACGCTAAACTTGGAGGGCTCATGCTGAAAGGCAGAGTAATGCCCTGTCTTTGACAGCTCGCGACTTAACCAGACGTTCTGATTACATTTACATAAGACACCAATACTCCGATTTTAATATGATTAAGATAATACTAATTAAAATTAAAATTCTACCGTGTAGCCTTAAAAGGAACCTTACCTTAAAGGAACACAGAGTCACGAAATGCAGAGGATTTATTTTCTGTTCGCCATGCGGCATCAACTTCCAACAGAAGTCGAAAGTTAAAAATGAAACACCCGAAATTGCATGAAACTCTGGAGAGCCTGGTGATGCGACTAATTGTTTTATACTGGAACTTGCCTTCAAAAAGTGCTTCCTTGGTCTTATCCACATTTATTGCATGTTGAACACATGTCCACCACAACAGGAAGTAAAAAAACCCTGCAAGTGCATTAATTGCGTTAATTTTTTTTAACGTGTTAATTATTTAAAAATAATCCCATGCGTTAACGCGTTAATTTTGACAGCGCTAGTTGCCTATATTTAGGAGAGCTAATAATTCTGACTTGAACTGTATACAGTTTTTTTCTAGCTGGCAAAGGAAAGAGAAATAAATACAATATAATAAAAATATGAAACAAACTGTGCTTTAAGCATCTTCACTGTAAGAAAAACACTTTAGCTACAAAAGTCTTTCAGTCAAGAGCAGTGAGGGATTTTCTCCTTTTCTTATTTAATGAATGATCGAAACAGGCGCTGCAGGAATTGCGCTGTCACTTTAATGGTTTCGCTTTCATGTTTCTTTTGATCCTCAATTCGTTTGTTTATTACACAAATGAGGGTTAATTTGAATAATCACATAACACACCTATTTTGACACCTATTTGACCATTAAAGCGCTCGCATTAAGATGACTTTATATGCTCTGCTTGTCACAGTGTGCGAATAAGACTGAATGCGGTTTAGTCCGCGCTTTTAGGAACAGCAAATGTTTACAACTGGAAAGGGGGCGGTAAATAATGGAATAATCGTTTATCTCGATTAATAGTTTTTCCCAGTCGTTACAGGCCAAAATCGAAATCGGATTTTTGATTTATTGCACAGCCCTATCCTATAAGACCTGCCCTCAAAGTGCTCTGATTAGTCATCAAACCTAATGTGTTGTGATTGGCGGATCGGCTTTACGTCACCAGGAAATGTCATGCCCCTCTTGCGTGAGGTCTGTCAGACTATGGCAAGCGGTTTCAGCATTAAAAACCCCTTGCCATACTATATTTATGAGTCAGAACAAAGGTTTCCATGCTAAAACAGCTTGTACACTCATATTATTTTGAGTGTACATACATTCTTGTTTAAACAGCTTCCAGAAGTTGATTTTAATGAGAGGTGCCCTTTAATGTCTGTGCGTACTAGGCATGTGCAGACAAGCTGAAGAGAGAAATGGAGCTGTATGGTTATCCGCCCCAATTCCCTGAAGAAGATGAAGAGGAGGAAGAGCAGAAGAAGACCTCTGATGACGTTATCATCAAGGACAAGACAAAGGGCAAGAAGGTGAATGTGTAATACGTGAAATATAAGTAATATCTGCGAGGAAACCACAGCTAAAAATAGGGCTGCATGATAAGACTATAACAAAATTATACTTTCCTCAGTTACATATTTGTCCTTGTGCTAATAGACCTAGGCTGCATCCGAAACCGCATACTTCCATACTATATAGTACGCTAAAATCAGTATGCGAGCCGAGTAGTATGTCCGAATTCATAGAATTCGAAAATCAGTAGGCGAGAAGTACCCGGATGACTTACTACTTCTGGTGAGATTCTGAAGTGCGCATCTCATGCACGCTGCGCTATCCCATAATGCCCCGTGAGAGAATTCATGAATGGAAGTGAGGCGACGCAACTGACGCAGGTAGGTCACGTGACCGTGACAAAATGGCGGATGTAGTACGTCCAAATTCCATTCATACTTTTCACGTTCATACAGTATAGAACACACTTTTCTAACGGCCAAGTTATACGTTTAAATTCAAATGCAGTACCTACTGAGTAGTAGGCGGTTTCGGACGCAGCCCTAGTGACTGATTTAAGTCTGATATATACTTCCTCCTGGCTCTGTAGCACAAGCCTCTGCTGACAGCACACACAGTCGTGGAGGATTTCATACTTTATCCGCTCGTTGCAATATTATTTGCACTGTTAATTTTTCATAACCATTATCTACTCTAAGTAACTATCATGGCAAAACATTGGTGAAGAAGTTAGCAAGTTGCTAAGTGATTGAAAATGACTTTAAATAGCAAATAAATAATTTGGACTATGTTTTATTTATTCAAGCTAACTGCATCCTTAGTGCAAAACATTATTCCCCGTTTTCACAGACGAGGCTTAAGCCTAGTCCTAGACTAAAATGTAAGTCTGAGCTGTTTCAACTGAAATAAAATTGCACTGATTGATTTTTAAATATATCAGTGCCTTTGTTTTGTCTCAAGATACACACCAGTAATGTTTTTTTTCTTAGCATGTTTGGAAAAATTACTTAAATGTACTAATTGAACTATGGCGTAATCCTGGCTAGTCTTAACCTTGTCTGTGAAACCGGGCCTATGTGTAGTAAAATGAAGAGAATTTACTTGAAGGGCATAGTTTACCCTTTGACCACCGGGGTGGTTGGATACAAGCGGCCGAAATGAGTTTTCTCTGCAGGCAGGGCGCACCCTTATAGATAGGGGGAGGAGCTCTCTCACCCGGGAGTAGAGTCGCTGCTCCTCCACATTGAGAGAAGTTAGCTGAGGTGGCTCGGGCAACTGTTTCGGATGGTTCCTGGACTCCTACCTAGGGAGGTGTTCCAGGGATGTTCCACCGGGAGGAGGCCTCGGGGAAGACCCAGGACACTCTGGAGGGACTATGTCTGTCGGCTGGTCTAGGAATGCCTTGGGATTTCTCGGAGGAGCTGGAGAAAGTACCTGAGGAGAGGAAGTCTGGGGTTCTGCTGCCCCGGTGACCTGGCTCAGGAGAAGTTGATGAATGATTGAATGAATTTCACCCAAAAAAGATCATTTACCTACCATTTACTCATCCTTAATTGGTTCCAAACCTTAAAGAGTTCCTTTAATTTGTAAAAGACGATATTTTGAAAGCTTAAAACCAATGACTTCTATAGTAAGAAAAACAAACACTATTAAAGTACATGGTCTCTAGCTTTTTTCTCCAAAATATCTTCTTTTATGTGTATGAGAAGAAAGAAACTCAAAGGTTTAAAACAAGTAAAGGGTGAGTAAACAATGAAAGAATTTTCATTTTTCGTGAACTATCCCAAAAAGTTTTGGGGAACTTTTTTTCTCCCTCAAAGTTTTAAAAGAAACATAAAAGCCTTCACATCAGCTAGTTGTTTAGGATTTCTAAATGTGCTATCACGTGCAGTTTGGCTAGACTTAAATTTATTGGCTCCATTTAAAATTGTGCACGCTGCCAGCTGAAATTGTCGCACACACACCAAAGCAGAATTCTGCCAACACCACAATGCCGTCACATTCCATACACATTCGCCCTTGAATGGTAAACTGACGTATAATCCAGTAGGATAAAATCTTTCTGTGGCCGTGTCAGCCAGCTGGTACTTAAAACCAATGTTATTTTAGTGAACATAAACTAAAACCAAGACTAAAACTGTTGATCAAAAATCATTTTTACAGTTCAAAGACATGCGGTACAGGAGAATTGGGTTGGCTAAATTGTCCTTAGTGTGTGTGTGTGTGTGTGTGTGTGTGTGTGTGTGTGTGTGTGTGTGTGTGTGTGTGTGTGTGTGTGTGTGTGTGTGTGTGTACGTGTGTGTACGTGTGTGTACGTGTACGTGTGTACGTACCAGAGATGGGTTTCGGCTGGAAGGGCAACCGCTGCGTAAAAATGTGCTGGAAAAGTTGGCGGTTCATTCCGCTGTGGTGACCCCGGATTAATAAAGGGACTAAGCCGACAAGAAAATGAATGAAGGAATTTATCAGCTATTAAAGCTGTGTTAATAAACAATTTCTGTTACTGCTTGTTCAAGCTACTATTTGCTTATTTTGGAAAGGTTTGTCATTTTCTGACTATGAAGAGAAAATTAAAACCACGAAACACCTTTTTTAGCATGTGAAACTAATACAGAGTAATATTTTCAATGTCGCTTTTTAGAGCAAAGCTGTAGCAAAGTCTGGAAGCTCCAAGTTCCAGTGGGACATCATGAAATCTCTGGGACTGCAGGATGCTGAAATTGTGAAGTTTGCTGAAGCTGAACATTGGCTGGATTATTTCCCTCCTCTTGCTGTAGAAGATCTGAAGAGAATGGGTCTAAAGGTTTGAAAAGTTTATTTCAGTTGGTGCCATTTAATGCAATGTGTCTCTAAATTAAGCCAGTGTCTTTTACTCATTATTGTTTTAGGTGGATTGGCGGCGTTCCTTTATTACCACTGATGTAAACCCCTTTTACGACTCTTTTGTGAGGTGGCAGTTCATCAATTTGAAAGAGAGAAAGAAGATCAAGTTTGGGAAAAGGTATGGTAAAAATATGACTTAAGTTATCATTACCGTTAGAGGGAAAGCAATTTATCAATGTTATCTATTAATAAATATGGATAGTACAGGGTTCATACTGTCATGGAAAACCTGGAAAAGTCATTGAATTTTGACATGGCATTTTCCAGGCCTGGAAAAGTTAAAACCAAAGTTTTGGAATGGACATGGAAATCAGTTTAACAAATATCTGTATGCTTGAATATAGGTTAGTTGTCTTTACTTCTTTTCTGCCTTTGGCCAAAAACATGTACTCACATTATGAATGCTGCTTAAGCATTCATTCGTTCATTCGTTCATTCATTCATTCATTCATTCATTCATTCATTCATTCATTCATTCATTCATTCATTCATTCGGATTAGTCTCAGTTTCAGAGGTCCCACAGCAGGAATGAACCAGCATGTGTAAGCATTGTCTAAATACGCTTTACAAACAATAGATCTATAAAAAAAATTCAAACTAAACAGATTTGTTTGGTGTTTTATGATATGTTGTAATGAGTTTGAATGTGCATTGTTTTTCTTATTATTTACAATGTATATACAGTTGAAGTCAGAATTATTAGCCCCCCACTTTTAATTTTTTTTTCTTTTTTTTAATACTTCTCTCATTTTGATTAACAGAGCAAGAAAATTTTCACAGTATGTCTGATAATATTTTTTCTACAAGAGAATTTTTATTTGTTCTATTTTGGCTAGAATAAAAGAAGTTATACATTTTTTTAAAGCCATTTTAAGGTCAGAATTATTAGCCCCCTTTAAGTTATATATTTTTTCAATAGTCTACAAAACAAACCATCGTTAAACAATAACTTGTTACCTTACTTATTAACCTAACCTGCCTAGCTAACCTAATTAACATAGTTAAGCCTTTAAATGTCACTTTAAGCTGTTTAGAAGCGTCTTAAAAAAATATTATCATAGCAAAGATAAAATAAATCAATCATTATTATTATTATTAGAAATGAGTTAATCAAACTATTATGTTTAGAAATGTGTTGGAAACAGAAATCTCCGTTGAACAGAAATTGAGGAAAAAAAAAAACAGGGGCTAATAACTCTGACTTCAGCTGTATATAGACATTCCATGAAACATTAGGTCATGAAAATGTACTTGAAAGTCCTGGAAAAGTCATGGTAAAATCATGAAAGTGTAGTAGTAAAATGTGTATGAACCCTGATAGTAAATCCAACACATACTCTGCATATATAAATTATTGGAATGTCACAATTCACTGGACAATCAACTCAGCTCAGCATATGAATCATGATTTTTGTCTCCCGATACAATTTTATCACAAGTTTTATAACAAAATGAGTTGAGAATTTAGATAACAGTGCCCATTTATAATTTAAAATGCTGCACACAAAATATATATTTTTGTCTAATAACAAATCAAAATTGCGATTTAAAAAAAATAATTTCAAATAAAATAAATTACAAATAAAATAATTACCTTTAATTTAAGCCCATTTAGATTTTGACTGCTTTTCTTAGATCAGCTAACAAGTTGTTGTTGTTGTTGTTATCAATATTTAAACGTCAGCATATCCACATTATCTGGTACAAGCTGAGATCTCTGCACATTTACAATGTCCATTTACAATGGCGCTTCAGCCTCCCCTGGAAAAAAACCAGCAGACTGAGGAACAGCTTTTTCCCCAGAGCTGTCTCCCTCCTGAACTCTGCCCCTCACTGACTCTTTTGCCCCATTTATACACCCCCACGCTCTCCTTGTAACTTATACTCTCCATAATCACTGCACTATTTAACATTTGCACATTCAAAATTGTTCATATTCATTGCACTTTGTTGCGCTATTCATCTTGAATTGTACACATCCACTGCACATATTCACTTGTAATTGTATATATCTGCATACTTTTAATTATTATAAGCAACCTGTTCATGTAGTCATCTATTGTAAATCTTTGTTTATAGTTAATACAACCTGTATATAATGCCGATATCTCATCCATCTGTAAATATTACCCGTAGTTTTTCTATAATTGCACTTTATAACTTATACCTGATCCTGCACTTGCTGCTGTTGCACTTCTGGTTGAACCTAAATTGTATTTTATTGCCTTGTACTTGTACATGTGTAATGACAATAAAGTTGAATCTAATCTAAACTAATTTAATCTAATTATGCTATTGATCTGGTAAAATGGTGTTCCACATTATTTGTTATCACATTAAACAAAGGACAAGAAGTCCTCACAATGTTGTTGGTTACTTTTCTATAATTAAATATGCTCAGACTGTCTCATGCTTATTCATCATGCATGTCTGACATGGTTTTATTGTTATACTTTTGTTTTCTTGCAGATATACAATTTACTCTCCTAAAGATGGGCAGCCCTGCATGGATCATGACAGACAGACAGGAGAGGTGGCCGTTATTTTTGATTTAGAAGTTTGTTAGTTGGTATAAAATAGGACGAATGTGTTGTTGTCTTACAGTAAAGATCTTTTTTTTTCAGGGAGTTGGTCCTCAAGAATATACTCTAATCAAGATGAAGGTTGTGGAACCTTACCCAACAAAGCTGGGGTAAATTTCAAATAATATGGAAGAATGTGATGGTCCTACCATTAGGCATGGGACGATAAAAGTTTTTTTGAATATTTATTCATTGAGTTTTTTTATTTACAGTTTAAAGCATTACATTACCCCTATCCTATAAAAACCATGGCGTTGATAG